TTGTTCACAAAAAACGGAAAAAAGTACACACGGTTCCTAAGTTTCCGTTGCAGACTACAAACATATCGTGTATAAAACACGAGCACAAATACAAAATTATACAAATAGAAAAGTCGTAATTATTTGTGGAAAATATAATTGTAACGAACGTTGGCCAAAGTTTGGTACATATAAATTAAAGTTAAGTTATTAAAATACTACTGTGTATTTTACACATATTATCGAAATAATATTATCAAAATAATAATTAAATGATAGAATAAAATTACACATTTTCGCCAGGGCGGAATTAATTTAATATCACTGGGTTAGGAGAGATAAATTTCGCGATATTACCATAATAAAACCTGCTGACAAAAAGGGTGTTTGCTCCTCATCAACGTGCAATGTGAACCTTATGTACGGTTTATGTGTTTCGTGCGGTAGATGTGTGAAAGGATTTTGCAGCTCGGCACTGTCTGCCGGATGTTGTCTACAATCGCCGTTTAGCGGCTCGTTTATCATTTCCGGCGAGCCCGTTCCGCTTTCCGCAATCGATAAAAGCGTTGTCAACCGTCGTACCTGCAACGCATTGCGCGAATAGTAGAACTGTTTGGCTCGTAAAGGTACAACGGGAAGTAAAGTCCTCGCAGAAGCGTCTCACCGTGCGAATATGAACCGAGCTGTATTCCACGTGTACGCCGTACGTCCAACGTACAAAATGAAACATATATATCTGACAAACATTGAAACAATTAATTTCAACTCCGAATATTCAACAAGTACAAATTCTCATGTGTTTTTTACATTTGATGTTCTTGAGAAGGTAGCGTTTATTTGAATACTGTCGGTTTCTTCACCTTGGTCTCATTTTGAAAGAGAGAGCTCGGTATCATTTCGAAAGGTGCATACGTAAATCTAAACAGGTGCGAAGGCTGAATGTACCGTGCGTTTACCAAACGAAAGAACTGAGCGAGATGCGTGGAAAAAAAGGGCGGCAGTAAATAAACGAGGGAGAAAACGAAGCGGAGAAACGACACACGTCGCTCTATCTTTAGAGAGTTCGCGTTTCGTACCACTCGTCGAGACGCCGAAGTGTCTGTCGACGAGCCTTATCTGAACTCATCCGAAGTCTTTGAAACTTCTTATCATGCTCTCGATGGTGAAATTCGTGCGAAGACATCACAGAATATCGCCGGCTTTCTCAATTTACATTTTCATGGACAACCGAAAAGTTCTACCAGCTCCGCTCATATTTGGTTTAACATACATATTAGCATAATATCGGACAGATCACATATATTATTAGAAATATAAATTTTTCGAAACTAGGATTATGGCAAAATAAAAAATAATAAAAAATAACGGTATTTTTTCTCTAAATAAACATTTATTTAACTCGGACATGCCATGTCATTTTATGAAACTAAAAAAACTTGTTTCCAGAAGATATTCAAATGTCTGTAAGTTAGGTATTCAAGTATTAGATATTTAAATATCTTTAAAATGTTTTCTGCGTATGTATGCTGTAATTAAAAAATATAATTAAAGAAAATAATACAAATAAATATATATATATATATATATATATATTACATAAACCCTAAATTAATTAATTTCATGAAGAAAAGGAAGTTTCTGCACATTAAACTCAAAGTCTGCAAAAATCGCGCTTTTCTATCGGATATCGCCTAACATGATTTGCGCAAGAAAAATATTTTTCGAAGGTAATATTCGAGATCCTTCTCATTATTTCGCTCGCATTTCTTCGAGTTACCTCGCTGGAACCCTGGAGGGCCCGCGTAATTTCGGTGGGCAGGAAGTTGCTTGCTCGGTAGCGAGCGAACTGTCTCCTGTGCTGCTGCAAAAACTCCCACGTATTTGTAGACAGCAAACAACGCGCATCAGCGTAGAAGCATGAATTTTAGAGAAGGTAAAGTCAAACAGCGGTTTCTTCCTCAAATAAGTTCCCACGATGCGAACTGTCAAATGAGATGCGTCGCATAGTTTGTATAATTTTATCTTTGCAATTTTTCACGTCGCGTTTGCGACAATATTTCTCTATTTCCCGCGATGAATTGAATACATGAATTTTTCGCGTGAGAATTACAATTTGTCTTGAAGTTTTGAAATCAGAATGTGTTTGTCGTCGTCTCCCGGCCTTTTGATAACGAAATCAGTCTTCGCCGTTCTTGCCGATTATTTCTCACGCGTCACGTACTTCTCCATGACCGAGTGTTACATTAAGCTCCGAGCCGGCGAGTAAAAAGAGAATCCGTTGGCCGACGAGTCTCGGTTAACTCGCTTCTGATTTACGATCGCCGTATCGACCAGCACAAGATGTGTCAGCCCAACCTGCACTGTACACTGACCCCCGAAGCAGTTGGACGAGAAAAATATCCCTTCCTGAAAATACTGGCCAATATTCTGTAACAGTTTTTATATCAGTCCACGTTATTACCAGGTTACGAAGAAAGAACCTACCTTTTTTCGTGTAAAATGTTATGTAATTCTGCTTTTTCTCTGTCACTTCAGCTTGGACCGTGATTTACCCTTTTCTCGATGAAAAATCTCCGGCTGCTCAATTATTTCCCCAGTCCCATTAAGCGAACGATCCTTTTCGCGGAATACTCTGGAAAATTACAAGCAACGCCACCTGATGACGAATAGTTAGTACGTGGTACACGTGAGCAATTTAGTTGGGTCTCGAAACAGGAACCGGTACATTTGACACCGCGATCCTTCGTTGCTCGCGATAATCCAATTAGCAGTAAAATCCACTTTAAACTGACGGTTTGAAATATCACACCGAAAAATTGATCGGAAGACCGGTGTATGTCGCATGCCGTACCTCGTGCTATCCTATTAATTAGCGCGAAAGCGATTTCATCGATTACCGATTTTAGGATGTATGTTGCGCAATCGAGCGCCCCCGAATCGACGGAACGAGCGAACAAATCGTCGCGTTCCGTGAGATTTACACGCAATTTTCGCCCTAGGGAACACGTCGCGGATAACCGATGTTATTATTCGCTCTTTCGTATTTCAATATTTGTAGCTGAGTCTTAATTAATGTTCCGTCGACTTTCTCAAGGATACTGACATGTATGTAGATACGTTCAATGTCCTTTTTTCAATTCGGACATTGTTGACAAATAAACATTACTGTAGATAAATATTTATTACAAAATTTTACAACAAGTAAAAGAGAGATCCCAAATCATACGATTGACATATTGACAGATGTCATTTTTAAATTAAATCAGTTTTTTCTAATTTTAATAAATTCATTTCTGAAGAGGTTAAAGCTGTTAAAATCGCTTGAATTTTAACAATAAGTAAAATAAAAGTATCAATGTCTCTATATATATATATACCTAACCCTAGACATTTTTATCGTTTTGATCTTTAAAAATACGGATATACAAATATTTAAATTTTCAACACAGAATGTTGAAAGTTTAAATATTATTAAGTATTAAATATACATGTCCGTCTGTTTTCGCTTGTTTTTCACAAAAAGTGAGCGTGCAGGATCTGCGGTGATTATATATCTTATCATGTTCTCTAGTCACCTCGGGCCTTCCGCATTGCATATCGATACACTGCATCGCGAAGTGCCTCACGAAGTATTGCAAATGCTCATTTTATGCATACTATTCACTATACATTCACCGCGTCAGCAACCTTCGGAATATGAGAAGCTATTTTTATTTTATTCCTCTGCAATGTTGTGTCAATAGTATCGATAGTACTTTCAATATGACTTAAGGAGAGAATGTTTATATTGGAAATAGATGTATTACAATTATAAAGTTACACGCTTTTCATGATCCTTGGTGTCACAGATAGCTCGGAGAGCTGTGTCGTCGATTTGGATATGATGATTTACGACAGGAAATTTATTTTGACACAAATGATAACTTTCTTGAAAATGTCATTAGAGTATCATTGATAAAACATGCACATCGACGCGTCATGATTACAGATTTCGGTTTTATCACAATTATTATTGCTCCATGAAGTGTAAAGTCTCCATTAGAATATCTAATTGTATAATTTACGGTTATGTTTTCATCTGGAGTTTTATATGTGTATTCTCGCTAATAAAACGTATAACCACTATGCAGCCATAACCGGGAATACTCGAGTGTACATTGAGAAAAAAATTTATTCGTTACTACAATCGTATAAGTGAAGGAATTATAGCCAGGAGGACTATTTTTTTAAGTAAGCGTTGCTGATAATAACCTTACATGAGTATGATAATAACCTCACATGAGTATTGCTATTATTATACTGAAAAAAAGAAAGTAACAAGGCGAATGGAACTTTGCTTAAACGAACAAAATTTCTTCAAATTTTCACAACGTTTAGCCTATCGAACAAATTATACAGTTGCTGTAACGGGTCTTCAATTGATTCAACGATTGCGATTTGGTCAGCAACTGTATCGATGCAACGTAGATTGAAAAACGAATTTGGTAGGATCTACCTGACAATGGGCACAAATGTTTTTTAAACGGGGCTGACAAATTTTGCCAATCCGCTTTTACCCTGAGTGTATTGTTTGGGTTAAAACCAGCAGAAGGTATAGTCGAGGCCGAGAGTGGCTATAATTTTCATGGGATTTCTCTCAGTGTGTACTCCTCTCCCAGTATATATCACCATTCCCTCCCTCGCAATCGCCCGAGACTCAATTGAGAACAACGACGGACACACTTACTTCGTCACGCCTGCCATTGGCTTTAATTCATCGGTGGCCGGCGGTGATGAGCGCGTTCCGTCCGATGCTACATCGTCATCTTTATTCGATATTATGACGACGGGGAGGCGGGTATGCCGTCACCGACGACGTCGTCAAAGCCGACACTGTTTCGTCGAGAAACGCCAGCGGCCGGGTGCGCCGCCAGAAAGCGCCGTCGGTATTTGGCAAAGTATGACGACACCGCTGACGCTACCTCCGGTTAGTCTGCGGGCCCAGGTATCCTAGACCGCAGTCTATACCTCCGCTTCTTCCTCGGTCTGGTCCATCGTCGTCTCCACAGCGCGTCCGTCCTCCTCCTCTCATTCTCTCTCTCTTTCTCTCTTTTTCTCTCTCCCTCTCTCTCTCTCTCGCTCTTTCGCTCGCTCCCTCGCTCGTTTGCGCTTCCGCACGAGGGAAGGAAGAGGCAAGACGGGGGCCAAGACGCTTTTAGACACGGAGCGTCCACGAGCGTCGCGACGCCCTGAGGAGCAGTAGTCGCGTACTTTAGGCAGCTTCCACCTTGCCGGCTCGCGGGCAACGCGTGCGATTCCGTGCGACGTCGTCCGGCCGTCGAGACGTCGTCGTTGTCGTTGTCATTGTCGTCATAGTGCCGTATCGTTTTATTCGCGCAGTAGTGGACCTTCGTTACCTGGAGAACACACGGTTCTGCGGATCGCGAGATAGTGTTTCTCCACCCGAACAGCTTCACCAATTCTTATTCGAGGAGATCCAAGTGCTCTCGAGTCCATCTAGCCGGCCATTATTGACCCTGAAACCTCACTACCTGAAGGATACGTCGAGTAATCGGATTAGGAGAAGTAGCTTGGTGCTCGGAACTGCTCAGGTTCCTCTCCAAGCTGGTATCTCTCTTGGCACCCGGGGGACCAACGGAATTATCATCGTCCAAGAAGAATCGCGCGATCTCGATCACAGCTCGTCTTTCTCTCTCTTTCTCTCTTTCTCGGAGAAGTCTCCCTCAGCGAGTGGCGTCACGGCCGAGTATCAAAGTGCAAAGTGGTGCGTCGTCCTGCACGGGACGTTCCGTTTCGCCCGATGTGTCCTCCCGGTCGGACGATGACGGATCGTCGCGAGTGACAAGAAATAAAGAAAGAGAGAGAGAGAGAGAAAGAGAGAAATACACGCATACAAGCGCGCGCTCACAGGCACACACCACCTGGCATGGTAGAGCGATCTTGCCAGGGGAAGTTGGTGGACGACTGACGACTGGTCGTCGGCTGTCGCGTACGACGCAGGAGGCAGAATTCCGCGAAGGTGGTTCGCGTGGCGAGGAAGGAGAAGGACGCGACGATGGCGGAGCGTCCCGGCGGCAGGAGACGCTCGCGTCGCGACAGCATGGACACCGGGAGCTCGATACGCGGCCCCCCGGCGACGTCCAAGGAACGCAGGACCAAGCGTTCCAGCAAGCCGTCCAAGGAGCGATGGCTGCTGACGAGGAAGACCTGGCGGTACATGACGGACGCCGGCAGACGTCTTATCCCGGACGGTACGCACAATCGCACGGAAGACATACCGAAGATCGAGCAGTATTTCCAGGAAGTCTGCCAGAAGGAGCCGCGTTTCCTGCTGTGGAGGAAGGCCTCGTATCCCGGCAGCTTGGGCTTCCGCACTCAGAGACGTCGGCGGGCGATCAAAGGTGGCAGCTGTCGGACCCAAGCCAGCTCGGCCGACGAAGCGGACGACGCCAGGAGCTCGCCTCAGAGCTTCGTCCTTCACGCGACCACGTCTGGCAAGTTCGATCTGGCGAAGGCGAAGAGAGAATGGCTGCTGACGTCAGGCGGCGGCGACGGCGGTAGCACGCCGTCGAGTCCGGTGACGCGTCGCAAGGCGGAGGACACCGAGGCTAAAGAATTGGCTGACATGCTACAGAAGTACCTGAACATGCAGGCTGACGCGGCTAATCCGCCGAGGACATCGGCCAAGTCCGCGGGAACAGCCGAGCAGACGGAAGGGAAGGAGCCCTTCGACTATCGCAGCCTGATAGACAAGCTTCAGCAGCACCTGGACTTGATCGTAGCGCAGACCAGGCGCGAAGAGTCAGCTTCCTCCCGTCAAAGCTCTTCCGCCGTCGCCGAGAAGAACGTGGCCCCGACTGTGCCGTCTTATCAGGGTGACTACGTGCACAAGTCGCTGATGGAGACGTTGGGTCGTTACTACAGTAAATCCTCCTCTCGGGAACACGTGGTCTCCGACATTCTGACCGACCGGAAGCTCTTGGAGAAGCTCTACTTCGACCTGAGGTGCACCCGGGGTTTCAGGGGGCCCCGGGCCACCGGCGCCTACACCTCACCGTCCAGCAGATGGTGGGATCATCAGCGCAGCAAGCCGCTCGGCAAAGAATCCGACAGTTGGTCGTCCGACAAGCGAGAACTGAAATCGCCGCCGCCTCTGATCGCCGTCCAAGAACCCAGCACCGACCGGGGCTTCTTCGACAATTGCGCGCAGACCGAGCCGGTCTCGCGAGCGATCCTCGACACGATCTTGCTCGAGAGGGAGAAGGAAGACCCGTCGAAGGAGCCGGGGTCGCAAAAGTCCAGCGGACGGAGGCGCAGCAGCGTCGACAACGACGACGTGTCGCCCTCCGTCAGCGACACCATCAAGAGGTACCTGAGAATGGCGCGGAAAAAGTCCATGGACGCGGACAAGGTCGATCGGTTCAAGCGGGTCAATTACGACCGTAATCTGCGCAACATCAAGGCCAAGGGCGAGATCACCAAGCCCGGCGACGACGACGGCAACAGCAAGGGCTGCCAGACCGAGGAGAACTGGGCTGTGAATTATCGGGAGATGTCCGCGGACGCGCCGCCGTCCGAGAATCTGTCGGACGCCGACACGACGACGTCGCCCGCGAGCAGGAACGCCAGCTCGCGGAGCAGCATCGACGCCGGCCTCGGCTCCGAGGAGCCGTCCACCCCGAAACAACCCCACCACCACCAGTCCTTCCTGTCCCATCTCCTGCACGGTTCCAACGCGCATAAGGATAAGCCGCACTCCGCGCCCGGTTCACCGGCACTCACGTCTGCGTCGACCAATTCCGCAGGTGGCACCGCGATGCAGAAGAGCAAGTCCTCGAGCAGCGTGGTCCATCACGGCAGCCGGCTGGTGGCGAAGAAGATCTGGCGCTCCAGGAGTAAGAGCACCTCCAGGGCGTCGCATCAGCCGTCCGTGTGGACGCCCCAGGTGAGTGCATGCTTCCATGTTTGTGCGTTGCTCTCACAGTCGATTCTCGAATTTTCCTCCGTGATTTTCATCCTGGAGAAATCTCGATCGGATCTTTCGAGCCGGGAGCTCCCGACAGTTCGACCGCCGATTGTATTGTCTTTTGCGATGAAGATATTGAAAACAAGATGTTCTTATCTCGAGGAAATTTTAACATCGATGAAATTTTAATATTAGGAAAGTTGAGTAAATCAGACGCGATAAATATGACCGATGTGTTGGGCCGACTTTATAATCACTTCATTAAATTAACAATTCAAAATTTCGCATTTGTTTTAAACCAACGAGAGATTAAAGGAACGTCAGAATTTTATTGAAATTTCAGGTCAATCGGGTCAATTACACACACCTGAAGTCGAGTTCGTTTAACTCGATGCGAGTTGTCTCGACTGAGCTTTCTCACATGCGAAAGTGACACCTCTTTGTGCACTTGTGACAAGTATTCGCGGGAACTCGCGCAACTCGCGATGGTGATAATCAGATTCATTAATCGCGTGTAGAGTTTCCCCCGCCACTTGTGAGATACGACGAGACAGCTGGCGAGCAGAAGCCGAAGTGCGTCTCCGCTGGAAGTTTATATTAAATGCATCCCGAGGGGCGACACTTTCCAACCTGTTATATCATGCGCATTCTTTGGCGTCTTCGCGAAATTAGCAAAAAGCTCGATAAAAAGGAACAGTAGATACCGTAGAATTTGGCATAGACCCGCATTTTCGTAATGCGCTTTCTGGCGGTGGTCTCCACGTTACGCGAGGCAGGAATATCTTTCGAGAGGACACGAGAGAGCGGATTCCGCGTTACATGTGCACGCATGCTTCGGCGAAACGGACGGCCACGAAAAATTTCATCCGCCGGAAAAACATTGTTCGTTGGGATCGAACGTATCGGGAGCGAGAAAAGTTATTTACATCCTCTGACGTCGGCCTCCAACCTGTTACGCGTCCCTTGTGAACATGATGAATAACACGACGCGCTTCTCCGTCGGATAGTAACGTCCTGTTGTGCGAAAGTGTCTAGAAGCGATCTATCTAAATTATGCGCCGACAGCCTCTAATGTGAAAGATAGCAAGTCACTGATAACTTCGAACTCTGGCAAGTGTCTCTCCTTACTATTCGCAATTTCGATATTTATGTTTACACCGTAAATCGCCGCGCGAAGAGTCTTCCGGCAACGTTTCGAAATTTATTAGCCCCTCTATAATTATCGAGTTATTATTTTATAAGGATGTTAACATCGCGGTGTATGATTTATTAATATTTTGGATCGATTTCTCTTGCGCTCGCGAATTCAACTCAGCTGTTGAATGATTTTGAATAGAATTTTTCTGAGTTAAATAATTTCTTTTGAATATTAATTAGAACAAAATAGTACATCGGCGTCTGTCGACGTCTATCGTTTATATATTCATTGAAGTTTTCGCCAGAGAACGCTCACTCTTTCAACCGTAACACTCGCGATTAAGATCTGTGTGTGTGTGTGTGTGTGTGACACAAATCTTCGCAAATAGTTCTTCTGCAAATATCTTTCGAATTCCTTGTGAACCCTTTTCCATAGGGCCCGAAGGCTTCTCTCGGCGCCACGCTCGGTTAATCATCGCGCCGTTGATCTAACGCGCGTATCTCCTTTCTTCCTTCGACACCTCCTTATCCTCGGCGTCTAAGCACGCGAAAGATGCGTGAAAGGGGAAAACGCAAAAGAAGAAAAAGGGGATCGACCTTGTGGCAAGACGTTCTCGTTAAGCGGTAAGCGCGATAACCAATTTAGGGCCTCGGAATTTCGCTGGCGCCGCCAGAAATAGTCAGCCAACGGCGGTGTGTATAAACTATACTTAACCCCTGCTACTACTACTCGGATATACACCAACACCGAAGCCAAAAGGCTACTACCACCGTTGCCTCTGCGTCGGCATGCTATTTCTCACGTGGCGTTCCTCCGGTTATTCCGACGAATAAGATCCGCCGCGAAATCGCCAAAGGAAAAGGAATCCTCTCGTTGTCGCGGCAAGGGGAAAAATCGAATTTCGTATTCATCAAATTACGTCGTTCGTTATCGATACCTCATCTATAATCAGAATTGATTCTTCTCGACACCGCGTTCCACGCTCGACGTCATCAGTTATTTTTAAAAAAATATTTTCAAGGAAATGAAGAATAAATCGTATTTTGCACAAAATGTACCATGAGAAACGTATTCGATGGAACGAGACGATGGTGCTCGCTCGGTCTCACTTGGAAAAATTGGAGTTTCGATATTTTTCTCACGAGAAAAACTCGTCTCGGTCGCGAATGGAGAAGCAGTTTTGCTAATCACCGAATACCGCTAAATCCCGTATCACACCGATTCCGTCGTTTAAATCGCTCCGTGATACAATTTCGTTGGCATTAAAGTGCCCTTGCGCGTGCGAGTGAACATTGTTATCTACCTCTCGTCGAGTCGAGCAAGAAAAAAGCGAGAAAAAAGACGGCACCAGCAAAAAAAATAGTTTAATCGAATGTGGGACCACAGCGCGAGACTAAATTGACTGTTTCCACGGGCCATCCGCATTTGCATGAAAGACGAAGTCCTTGTATATCCTGTCTTTATCTTGAAAACGTAGTTTCGTTAGACCTCTCCTCGGAAATATCATCTACTATCCTCCGTTTAATCTCCATGCATCCCATGCAGGATTCTCTCTCTCTCTCTTTCTCTCCCTCTCTCTCTCTCTCTTATGTACACCCACAGCGGAATATAGAACGAGCGGTGGAAGTAACCAAATTTGCCCAGGCAGATTAAGAACCAAGTCACGAACTTTTTCGACCTTCACTCCTCCCTTCCTTTCCGCATCATCCCGTTAATTTCCAAATATCTGTCGCGCCGAAGGTCGCGGTAAGACTGTTTCGTCGGGAAATAAGGAAACTTTTCAGAATAATAAACGCGCGTCTCAAGCTCTTTTCAACGGCAGACGCTCTGCCAGTGGTTGAATAATCCTTCTTCTTCTTCGATACACGGCGACCCTTGCTTGTGAAATATTAAAACGTTACGCGTTTGTGTCGTCTGCATCGTTAGATTTTAGAAATTGTTTCGTTGAACAACCCATGTTTCTTACAAAAGCATCACAGATTAGGCGAGACTTTAGTATGCGACATCGTGAGAATTAATTCCGCCTCACTCATTAATTTTAAATATAATTTCGTGACGAGACTACCAACTTTTCCACGAGATGAAGGTTGGCTCTCCCACTGTTAAAGGGGCGGTGAAATTAAAGCGCAATTTTCAAGTTTCGCTGGAATATTCGCGACAAAATTACCACTGCGCTATACTGTAACGTTACATTTGCCAGCACGGTGTTTGGCCAAAACCCCTTCTTATCTGTCTTAAATATACTTGAAATGTTTCGTTCTTATTGATTTTTTGCGTTACAGTAAGACTGTAAAAAGATTGGATTGAAAAATGCGGAACAGTTAATCACAAAGTGCCCTCCCAGGCTTTTCCGTCCGAACTCTCTTATTGTTACATATTTATTTCCGCTTTTCGCAGCTTGAATTTCACCGGGAGCACGCGAGTGTGTGGCACATGACGTACGTTAGCGTCGGTACATGAAAAAACAAAAAAAAAGAGAGAAGAAAGGACACGTTAACAAAGTTGTTTGTCGGTGAATAACAGTGACCATTATTCGTGCCTTTCTTTGGGCTACGCGAAGTATTGAAAGAGCGCAACGTTGCAGGAAATATGCGGCAACGCATTTGCCCGTGGCTTGAAAAAGCGAAGGACAATCGAAGCGAATGTCATTTCCTGCTCTATCAGGAGCTTTCAAAAGCGCAAAACTCTCCGGACCACACACGTTATTGCCGCGGGAATAACTTTTATTTTTCACCAACGCTTTTTTCAACGTCTCTTTGATTGTTTTTTCTCATGGGCGTAACGTAATTTGATATTTTTCTGGCCCGCGGCTGATAACTTCATGAGTGCGAGGATATCTTCTGGGCGGCAGGGTAGCTATCCTACAATTTTTATCGGATAGAAAATGACAGGATTGACGTTCGCCGAAGTCTCCCTCAAAAAGACGGAGGCAGCAAGAAGTGATTTTGATGAAAGAGGGATGAAAGAAGGCTGAATGTATACAGATAACCTAGTGAATCGTTAAAGAAATACATTCAGTATTATGATTAATACATAATAATATTACAATATTTCAGTATATTATAATTATTATATAAATCAATATTATATTATATAATATTATAATATTATACATATAACATTTCTGAATAATTTTTTAATATTTCTTTTTTAATGTATCTTCGCTAAATAAATACAAAATTCCAAACGATTGTAGAGCTAATTCTGCGAGATAAATTTAAGAAAATGTGACAGTGTCTTTTGTAAATAATAAAAATTTTGCGTACTTCGGGAAAAAAACATCCGGATATGGTGGGTGAGTAATTTAAATGAGACGAATATTGTCAACTCTCGTGACGATTATATATCAATAGTACGTTGATCATCGTATCAATCAGCTGATGATGGTCCATTGTTAAATTTCCCTCTCGTAATTTAAACTTGGCTCGATAACACGGCGCGTTCTCGGAAACGCGAGCAAAACATTCAGACAATTTCATCTCTAGCAAGATTACCTCGATCTCCTCCGCAAAGTGGAAGGAAAATATATGAGTTATGGCCCGTCATATTGCATCTTCCCGTTACATCTCGTGTTTCCTCGATATTACACTTCGTCCTGTTTATTTCTCGAGCACCCGGCGACTTTCCGTCGATCTATCGCGGAAATTTCTCGCAAAACGTGTCCACGGTAGATGTGTAAGCATTAATGAACACGAGCTAATGACACCCACCGTCCTTTTAATCTGTTTCGCATTCATCGACCCGTATTCGATTGAATGAAGCTCCCGAGAGGCAAGTATATACGTTACAAGTCGCGAAAATTCGCACGCCGCCGGTCCGTTCGAGCGTTGCGTGAGAATCTATACATTTTAATTTCGCGAATTTACATGATAAGACTAATTTAAATAATCGTTGCATGACAACGAGGGTCCCGTCCGGAATGAAATCCCCTTTCGGAAATCCTGTCGTGCACGAGGAGGTATTCCGCGACCGAGCTTAATATCTCGTACGCTTCGCGATGTCTGCACTGGAGATTCGGAAGGTTTTCACAAAATTTGTCCGAGAGGACCTGTCAAGTACAGTTCGCCGGCTGCACGCCGGTCTTGCTGTCCGGGAAATTAAATCAACCACGCACGATTTTCTTTTGTCACAGGGAAAATGTACTTGGGCAGGCACAGCGGGTCGGCGCGTGACCCTGCAGGACACACAGCTGAGAACGCTGTCCGAGATCGAGAGGAAGGTTCTTTGCAAGGTGGCCGTGGCGAAGCTTCAAGCTCTCAATCTGGGTGTGCACATCAGGCCGCCGAGCGGTGAGTTTATCCCAAAGATGATTGAAATGTTAGACGAAAAAAACTTTGTTTTTATTTTTCACAAAAGTAAAAGAAGAGGCATATTTGATTTATTACGCTATTATGAGTATTAAATCCCGACTTGTAACATTTCGAGTTCACCGATCTACATTATAAGCTCAGCACGCAATATAACTAGGGTTGTTAGGATTTTGTAGTCGTACGTATTATTTGGAATGTATTGGTTCGATTCATTATTTATTAGGGCTGGAAATTATATTTGAAGTTTCGGATCTCCGAAGTCAAAAGGAATTCTTCCACCGCGTGTAATTCCATTAAGGCCATCTGCGTGCCATGCTACGTTAATCCGGGGAATATAGTTGTTCCGGAATGAAGGCGAAGAAAAGAGGAAACAACGCCCAATGAAATTCCAGGCGTATTTAACGCGCAGCCCCCGCTGGCTTCTATTTAACAAACACCGATGAGGGTCATGAATTTCTCGGATGCTTTTGTACGCCCTGTAGAATCTAATCCTTATGCTTTCTCATCAACGCCCCCGTGCGTGAGTGAGTTATCCAGATAGGCCTTCTTCAGCGAATTAACTCAGCCGTTTGGTATCGCAGAAATTTCCTCTCCCCTTCCTCACATTTTTGCGCTGAAAGCGATCCTTTCAACATTGTGAAGTCGTCTTACAAAAAATAGATCGCGCGCGGGATTCTCGCGGAAGATAAATTGAGGATCCGAGGACCATCGAGACGTGCAAGAATTTCTTTATTAAGTGAAATTTTATGTTTGAAAAGTTTTATTAGCTTGCTGTTAAATGCAAATTTAAATGCAAGTAAAATAATTGTTATCTTTAAAAATTAAAATTCATTTTGTCAGTCGGAAACTTGATGTTAGATTTCGCTCAAATATATCTGGTTCTTATACTGAGAAAAATTTCTTGGCATTTGTAACTGTAATTGCATAAGTGGAAAAATTATAATCAGAACTATTTTTCTAGTGGCTGTTACTATTATTATCGGTAATAATAACTTTACATGCATATTGTTACTACATTTTTTTGGGGTTAAAAGCAGAAGATATTAGCTGAGGTCTCGATAATGAGTATATAATTTTGATGAGTGGAATTTCTATTAGTGTAACGTCGAGCGAATTTTCGACACGACATTTCTTTCGCACTGAAGGTGATAAGACGCTTGACCTTGAAGCAACCCGCCACCTTCGCACCTGGCGGGAATAATAATAGGGGAGGAATAATCTTGGAATCTCGGGTATCTCTCAAAGAGATTACTTTGGCATCTATCGCGAAGACGTGGCGCCGTTCGGCTGTCTCGTCTGAAGACTCCAGATGATTGACGTGTTTATGGCTACGAGAGCGTTCGCTCGCCTTTACGGCGGAACATCCACTCGAATTTCGATGTCTCTTCTTTCGCGAGGCACACTCGCGATAGCACGCGAGCGAGTAAGAGAGCCGGAATGCGATGAACGCGCGGACGCGCCGCAGTCGTTAAGGCGGCATTGTATTGCAAATAGAATGTGTCATAGAATGACTATGAATAACTGCGTTATAATAGAAACAGCGACGTGGTATGCGCCCGGTGGAGAGTGCAAGGAACTCCCATCGCGCAATAAGTCGCGCGCGTTGATTAACTCCGGTACTTCGGTATACTCTCGCTTTTCATCCGCAGTCGTCGTGTTCGCAGCCGCCGAGAGACCTTGCGAACTGAATAAAGCACACGCGATGACAGGAATGATCCACTTAAAGCTGCTAATTCTAACATAAAAGAACAAACCCTTTTATTTCTCGTGCTTATGCTAAAAATTTTCATTTTATTTAGAAAAATTTAACTTCAGTTTTTACATTTTAAGCTCGTCATGCGAACATTCTTTCGTGTCAAATATTGTTATGAACACTTGTTTACACTTTTGAATAGAAAACCCACGTTTCATCCACGTTGTGAAATTTTTTGTCACGAGAGGTCATCGAGATTTAAATAATGAGAGATTATTACACTCGAATATGAAACATTTAATTATAATGGAACAGAAGGCATTATTGTAACGCGGAGACACGTCGGAAATGACAAGGAGTGAAAAGTGGGATTCATAAATCCTGCGATTTTACATTACTCGCTCGATACAGCCAAAGCTGACTTTTTGCGAGGAGACCTTTTCGAAGCTGCTGGATTTAATAATTCACCGTACGCGGTTTAATTGCCCATCGCACGGGATCGTACAAAAACGTGAAAATATAATCCAGGCATTGTTTAATCTCATTTTAGAGAATCGTGCCCGTTTTATTCTTACTCGAGATGAGGGTTTATTAAAATCACCGGCGACTCCGACGAGAATTTACTTTGGGACATTCGCTCTGTATGAATTATTCCGGTATTTGAGATAAAAGCGGATACCGTTCGGATTTTACAAGTGGGCTGCATAATGCAGCACTAAGGACTAAAACGGTGGATGTGTTCCGGAATACATTTGTCAGGTCATTTCTCTCTGCGTTTCCTTCCAGAATCGGTCGGTAGCGGGTCGGCGACCACGAAGCCGAAGAGACGGGCGTACCTGCTGAAGAGGAAGGCTCTCACAACCGGCTTCTTCGACAATAAAGGGAAGGACGAGAAGGGTGAGCACAAAGCGCGATACCGGTTAATCGGCCATCGCCGCGGCCGCTCTCTCGTCACGCTGAGGGATAATTGAGCGCTTGGAATATATAAACTTTCGCAGTAACGTTATTTATACCACGGCCTACATTTACCTTCCGTAATTAAAGCCCTCTCTCTCTTCGCAAACGAACGAGACACCCCCGTTCGATATCGAATTGCGATGTCGTTCGCGGGATGAATATAAAAGGACCATCATGGTCGTTTCACCTCGCGACAAACGCGAAGGTTCAACGCGAACGGTCAACGTCCGTTCCGGTAAACGAGCTTCTCTAATTGTCTTAAAGACTCCTACGATATAGGAAATAGGAATTCGCGATATCGAAGAAAAATTAAAATTAGAATGACTTTTCACGGGACTCTTCAATGGAAATGAAATCGGCGTGAGATAAAAATAATCGAGCGTAAAATATACAAAGCTTACAGCGTACACACATACCGGTGCATTGCATATAAAGTGCAATTTCTTTCTCTTGGGAAATACACGCGAAATTTATACGTTCGACGTGAGGATGTTCTTTTGCTCTTTCTCTCTGTCGCCGATACTAGGTGTAAAGACGCAAAATGTTACGAGCGCGCGCTCGAATTTTGAACAGCATCCCCGAGGCTGGGTTCGACGGAGCGAAGAAACGGCGAATCGCGAAAATTTGCACGGGCGAGTCAATAATTAAGTACGACGTGCGCAGTTTAATGTGCAGAAAGCCACGTATTTAACGGGGAAATTTATGGCGCAATTATTTGTTTGGAGAATAACTAGTCCAGTTATTTTCAGACAGACGCGATAGCGCTTGCCGCGAAGTTCGGGTGAGTGCTCTATCACTGATACGTTTACGAAATTCCTGCGCGTATACGTGCGTGCGTATGCGAGTGATATATATATATATATATATATAAATTTTCACATCCACCCAAGCCGCAACAAAGGTAAATATTATTCTTGGGACAAATTTCTAATCTATTTTCGGCGACCGTCCTATCTCCGTTGTTGCGGATTCCTTGCGCTCGATCATTGTGAAAAGTACGCCAAGTTGAACCACCACCAAACGGGTTTCACGCAACGACTGAGCAGACGGAGACATTCGCCGCGGCATAAAAAGAGTACAATTGAGACTGAAAACAACTATAATTTCTCTCAGTGTGTTTTCTCGCAAGTAATTACGCGATATGCCGCAATTTTCACGGAATTTGTCGTTTTGGCTCGGTGTAATTTTCTTTTTTCCACACCGAGTGTCCTCGTATCCGCGGAATCATGCGGGCGAGCCAAGGATGCAATTTCCTGCGACAAGCCTCTCTCGAAAATGCGCCCTCCCTGTGTGTCCCGGCTTACGCGCGAATACGTGACGGTATTCACCGTGTGCTCTCTCTCTCTCTCTCTCTTTCATTCCGTCTCATTTCACCGAACTAATTATGCGCCGCGTGGGCGCGCGATTGCACCGCCGACACTGTTTGCGCTGCACTTCCGTGGCTGCCGCGACAGTTCAAATAAGAATGTCGATGCATTGTTCGCAACTTCGAGCAAATCGGCGTCAGATGCGGATTAGCGATTACGGCGCAAGCGGAACGGTTTCCCGGTGTTGAGTTGTGCCAGCGATGCGCGACTCTCTCTGTATTATGTGAACATAATTTGCAAACGCAAATCACCGCAAGTGCGTTTCATTGCGAACGCAAATGCGATAAATGGTACAACCGTACGCGAGCTCGCACGATACCCGTCCGATGAAGCACCGTGAAACTTTACCCGAACACGTGGACAGCTATTCTCGGCCGTACTTAAGAAAGCGATCGTCGCAAAAGACGATAAAAATATAAAAATAGATATACCGAGAAGCAAAGGAATAAGAAAAAAAAACGTGATAAAAATATAAGGAATACGACGATTAGCGACGTGATAATTGGCCAGTGCTTCTACTGTCGTTGCGACATTTATCGAGAAACGTCGATGTGCCACTTTTTGAATTTCTTCGAGTGAAAATCCGCTCGTGGAAAGCGGAATGACGAGCCGTCATGCGAATTCGAATGACTTTTCACTCATAGAGTGCACTCTCCTCACTCGGAATCGTCGAGTGAATATTTTCGTTCGGAATTGAAGAGCGGATCTGATGTACCCCACTTCAAAGGGGCGAATTCATTGTGAAATATTCATTCATGTGGATTAATCCACTTCAAGTTTCAATCAAGCATCGCTCAACTCTTGCGATTTCGAGGGACGGCATTTTCACCGTCTCATCGAGCAAATTTTCGCTCGTTTTCAGCGAGATCTCGTTCTACTAATCGATTGAAATATTCACTCGCGTGGATTCATCCGCTCCGAGTTTCAGTTAAACATTGTTTAACTTTTACATTTCGAGTAACAGCATATCTTCGCTGCCGCTTCGAGTGAATTTTCGCTCCTTTAGAGCAAGAAATCTCGCTTCGAGCAATCTGAAGATTCACAGTCGGCCGGCTCGATGACGAAATATCGCGGTGAGAATTTTCGCGTGCGGACTGTAGAGAAAAAGAAAGAGAGAGAGAGAGAGAGAGTGTCCAGGCGAGAAAAACGCATCTCACTTGCCCATGTGCAGGCGGCGGCAGACGCGAGAGGCGGACACAGCAGCAGCATCGGCCAGGCTGGTATGAGACACAATTTCGTCGGCTAAAATTAACCACGGGGTGCTCGGTGGCGGTACATATTTCCGCATATATCAGGTTTATTTGCGGTTCGCGCTACGGGTACAAGTGCCCATGCGTAGGGACACCAGGCGTCAATCGGGAGGCCTCTTCGCCGCGAGGCCGCTCACTCCCTTTAATGCACCGCACGCGTGGTCCACCCGCGCGATTACGCGCGCGCGCGTCTTGGAATATGAAGTGCGCCCCGAAGCTTCATTTCTCTCCGTAATCTCCGCCTGGTGACGATTCTCAAATAGAGGATATATTTTTGCGCCTCCTCCAGACGTACGTTTCCTGAAAAACTGCTCAAAAAGAGGAAGCAAGGTTATACTTACGTTGCGAAGAATTAAACATCTTAGTTGGGGTAAAACGGACAAAATGGGTAACACGGAATAAGAATAATGATAATATGATGAAAGGAAAATCTAAGGAAGAGAAATGAGAAGATAAATTATTATATCGGCAGGAGGCGTGATTATCATATTTTGGTTATGAAGTGAAGTAAAACGGGGGGTGACTGAAGTCACAGTCGCTCATACTTTTTGATGCCGACTCGATTTTGATCCCGAGTTATTCTTTATTATTCCGCGCAAAACACTCAACGGAATATGATAATGTGATGCATTAGAAAAAGTTAATAAATTGCCAAAGCTCTCAGATGCCCGATCAACTAGGTATCGATCATGCATTTTTTTTCTAGATTGGAAACGTGAAAAATGAAAATTCCAATTCTTTTCAAATATACACTTTTCACGAATTCAAGTTTCACTCCCTGAGGATTGATCATAAATCTTCTCTAGCGTGGATTCGCAAAAATTTAATTAATTAAATTGAAAAATTCTCAATATTTTCTAATTTGAATACATTTGGGAAAACTTGTACGGTCGATATCCCGGAGGCGAAATAAAGCCAATAAGAACCAACGGAAGATATCAATCGCGAAACTCACTGAATCTAAAAATTAAATTAGAAAAACTGAAGGTGTGTCCTGACGACCGAAGACCGCTTGACGGTCGCGTCAAGTGGCCGAGGTTTTCGCGAAAGATGCGCCGAACGTTGTCGCGCCGGCGTCGCCAAGCGTCGCAAGAAGCAAAGCCGAGCTCCGCGCCCAAATAAATTCTCCTCTCTCTCTCTCTCTGTCTCGCGGCACGCCCGCAATGAAAATACACAGATAAACAAAATCTCGCGCACGTGTAAATACACGTATCGGAGGAAGTGTCAATTTGACTTGAGAACGCGCGCAACGAGATACATTCGGGGGGATATTTATACGCGCGCAACGCGCCCGCGTGCACGCGCTTCTAAATACGACGACGTAGGTCGCACCGCTCGCACGGGGGTGGCACGGGAGTGTTGACGATCGATGCCGATCGTTTTTCGACGCTTCCAAGAAAAGGCTCTTCGTTTTCCTCGCACATTGTAGTTCGTAAAGTGGCAAACGCTCCGCGCTCTCCGCGCTCTCGTTCAGCGGAGCTGCACGCTCGGGGGAGAAGCCGGGATGGCCCAGATCGCGGTCTATAATCGGACCCGGTATAGGGACACGGTTTGTTGCCTTTCGGTTTTCAGCTGGCTTCGAAAGTGGTCGACCCACGAGAGAAACTTGCCTCAGTACCTTCCTCTGATATCGGCCACGGCGATACGTGCGACCACGATCGTTTACGTTCTCTCTGCCTCTCTCTCTCTCTCTCTGCGAGAGAGCTTTGTCTACAAATTGCGACGATCGCCTAGAGCGTGGACAGGCGTCGCCGAGAAAAACACACTGCTCGATTTTGAGACAAAGAGGGTGCGAACCATTATCCTTCTCCATCATGATGATACGATGAAGAAGCAGAAGTACGTTTATCTACGGGTAGATAAACGTACAAAGAGAAACGAAAAACTGTATTTTATTTTGGTATATTAACTGCAACCGAATAAGTGAAGGAATTATAGTCGGAAGAACAGTTTGCTAACAAGTGTCAATATCAGTGATAATAAACTTATATGTGCTGCTATAATTTTTGGAAATTCTTTTTTCAAACCGGGAAAATATATGATCGAGGGCAAAAATGAATTATACTTTTAGTGGGAATTCTCTCTGTTGTGTCGAAACGCGAGATATCGCGCTTAAACGAAGAAACGGTTCAAAGTAAGCGATCGTCGACCGATTTCCCGTCCCTTTTAATCAAAGCATGAAAACGGGCGCGTTGTCGGTCTGGAATCATTCAGCGTGATATATCGAGTCGACCGCGCGATGATTGCGCTTTGTCGAACGCAATCAGGGCGGCTACTTTGACGGAGAGCCGCTTGCGTGGACGTGAATTGCAAGAATCTCGCTCGTGTAATTTTCCCGGCCTCTGACGTTATAATCGGAGACGACTGACGCGGGTACCCTCGACTCGGCCCGCCCGGCACTTCGAAACGTGCTTCGAATTATCCGGCTTTTATATCACGATCGACGCGGAGTGTGCGTGGGCGCTGAAGGAGTTCACGTCTGTCTTCGGGTTGCAACTTTGCGCCCGAAGTGGTGGAACACGTTTTGGCCGCGGATCTGAAAGGTCCGCCGCGATATCTGGTGGGTGAGACGTTGATGTTAATTAGTGTCACGTTAAACGCGTACGTCATTCCTACCCGCGGCGGGCTCCTCGGCTTCTTCGCGTGTGTCGGCAACCGGGCCACTAAAATATCTCGAGCATCGGGATATTCACGGTATCGACGCGGGGAATGCCCGAATAATTACGATATCACCGAGTCGAATTATTATATTAAATTGAATGAAAAGAAATTAATTGAAGGGAAGCACAGTTTAAACGCAGTTCACATTCGTATACTAGCTTGCATTGACTCCTTTGTCTCTGGTATGAGTGAGAAAGAAAGAGGGTTTGAAGGCTTCCTTTTAAAGGAGATGAAGATTCAAAGAAGGCTCCAAGATACGGAGTCGTTGAACCTTTTTACCTTCAGAAAAAAAAACGAAGGTAAATTAAAATCATCTTACGTTCGAGAAAGTAAATCGATACGCCACTTTCAACGAGGCGAGCGCCCTTCGCGTGGCAGCGATTCGAAAATGAATTATTCCGTTAAACGTCTTATCGGGACCGGGAACTTTCCTTCGTGAAAGAAACCCTTCCTTTGGAGCGGAAAACGATGGACAGAATAATTCTATCGGAAGACATTTTCTTCGTTATTAATTGTTTAGCCTGCACGCGTCAAGGAGGAGCCGCTAATTGAGTAACACGCGTTGTTCTATCGAGCGACGCGCGTTTTAGCGAAGCTCCTCGATGGATCGGTGGATGGACGGTAAGCTATTTACATGACTTTCGACGCGTATCGTCCTCGCTAATGGGTCTAATTAGCAGACAGCGAGACGCTATCACGGCGGATTGTCGCTGGCTCGTTTGTATGCGCGGAATTGCGTATGCAATATACACGCTAATTCGTCGTGTCGGGAGCGAGCAAAACGCAGCTGACGGCCCGTACATCAGATCGATGTCGGTCCCTCGTGGTGCCTCGCTCGCCGGCCAAGTGATCGAAAAGATTCGCGAATTATCTGGAAGAGAGAGAGAGAGAGAGAGAGAGAGGGAAAGATTCACCGACGGGATCGTGCACAATAAATAGTTAAAACGCTGCCAATGAGCGAGCGTCTATCAGCTCAATTGCATTAAGTTACAACGACGCGCACGTTTCTTGGACTTTAATCGTTCTCAAAGAAAGAGGGGAAAGGTCCAATAAGATTGAAATTCAACCTATTTAGCCGTTTAGCTCCTACCGTATTGTAAAGTATAATTCAAAGTTTAACACGAGGCCAAAATTTCGACTCGAGTTTGTTCATATAATCGAATTTTTCAATCACCTTATAATAATAACGCAACTTAAGGCAACCAGCTCGATTAATTCGAGACAACGTTGCAGGTGAATGTGTAAAAATGACGAAACCCTGAAACAGTCCCTTTCTTTCTTCTTATATCGTCTGAAATCTGTGATTTTCCTCTTCCGCTTCAGACGTAGCCGGTGGCCTGGTGTTCGGTATACCGTTGCCGCAGTGCATAGAAAACGACAGGATCGCTCGGATCTCCGCCGGGGAGATCGCCGACGTCGGTTCCCTGACCAGAAGCAGCAGGCACGGTAGCAGGGCCAGTTTCTCCAGCCTCATAGAAACACCGACTACTATCGCGGCGAAAACCGAGGAGGTAAGCGTTCTTCGAGAAGTGACGGATCATCCCATTTCGAAAAACTCCCCTCGCACACCGACGATCAACGTAATCCTCGATTTTTCGCGAACAAAAGACCCGACAGCGAACTGAAGTCGAGTTGGATAAGAACGAGCTCTCGAACCCCGAAGCGGTTCGATCCATTGTCGTAGGGGAAATTGCGCCGAATTGAAACGCCCGATTTCTCCTAATCTCGTCAAGTGTTCGTGGCAATGCATCGCGAGCGCGTAGCGGCTCTTACCATTGCTGTTCAAGGCGTTGACCTGTATTACTTACGAAAGTTTCTTTCGAGCGGCGAAGCTTGCCAGCTGATCGACCGGCCATTAATGATGCTCCGCGGCCGGCCGGTAAATATAGAAGCGCGCGAAACGGTATCGTATAGTACAAAGTACGGGATTCGTTCGATTCCCGTCGCGCGCCGGTTAAGAGGAAGAAAAATGAGAAGAATTCTATCTTCGCGAGAAGACGCGCGAAATGCACCCTCGCGATTTCGTTCTCGCGCATCGACCGGCCCGGAGAGCGTGGGAATAAAAATCGAATTTGAACAACGCCCAAAAGCGCGCGACGCGTCTCGCCCGCCTGACGACGTCACCGACGACATCGCGCGCACTAACGGCATCATCCGTTGCGTCACTCGTGTCGTCTCGGGGCAAGGCGGGTGTTTATCGATGACCACTTGCCACGCCGGCCAGACGTCGGGCTGCAAGTGGTTATTTTTCGATACGGACACGTCCGCCTGAACGAGCCACCGAGTACGCGTTTACTCTGTACTCCGACTTGGCCGTCCGCAGACGGCCAGGGACGCTGTCGATCTAACGAAGGACCTTAGACTTCAGATATGAGAACTTCGCTCCACACTTCCCGAGCCGAAATCTTGGCCCTGTGTCTAAATCTTGAATTCTGCGACACAGTTCTCCTCGCACATAAGTCCAAGATAAGTCTACAAATTTTCAAAGACGCGCAACCTACTCGGCGATCTTGGATGAATTTGCTCATCGAATCACATTTGAATCGGGCGATCGATCGGCGGAAGCTTGAAATATCTGACTCGGCAATCCAATTTGAAACTTCTGTCGCGGAGCTGAGATTTTCCAAGAGAGAGAGAGAGAGAGAGAGAGAGAAATTTCCTCTATGGATCTCATAATTTTCGGTACCGAATTCAAAGTCGTGAATACTACAAAGTCGTGAATACTACATCATCTGAGAAAAAGTTGAATGCGCGAGGGCACGGCGGAATACAGCCTCGCTCATTTATCGTCATTCTCACGCTAAAGCCATCCGGTGTATAAGAATAGTGCGCCCCGTCCTATTTCACCGCCCTTTTTCGCTTTTTGCTTCAGAAATGACAAATATCTCCGGCTTCCCAGCCGGAAGTGAATATTTTGATTTCACAGGCACCGCCACCTGAGCAGAAAACAAATTTTTTTTTTCCACGCTTTGCTCGTCAACGACCGTTCATCGTTATTTTAAGAATGCCGTTACCCGCTCCCTCTCCAATCTGCAAGATCCACCCGCGATATCATTCGCGATACTTAACACGATCGCGCATCGATGTCTGGCCTCGGTGGTGAACCCTCGGCCGTAACCCTCCCCCCCCCCCGGCGTACGGCAATGCGTCCTATTATATAATCAAATTATGATTTCACGACGTTTTTCTGGAAAGTTATTTTCGCAGACACCGCAACTTTTTAGCATTTTTGCGCGCAACGCTATTAAATTAGAGAATACTTTTCTCTCTTCTCTCTTCCCTCTCTCTCTCTCTCTCTCTCTCTCTCTCTCTCTGTCCCCCTCTTTCTCTTTCTCTCTCTTGGTAACTAGAATATAAATATGAATATACGATACTGCGGGAAATTTTTATTTCTTTTGTAGAAAGCGACGTAAAAGCAAAAGCCAGTAACTTAGCGTATTACATTCTCCCCCGCAAACTTTTGGGAAGCTTCAGGGATAAAATTCTTTTTATATCGGCATAGTTTTCTCACTTTATACATCACAGCTACATTATCCGTCAATGAACGTTCTTATTTCATATAAATATATATATATATATATATATAATTTTTCGAAGGGATTACTTTCAGTGAAATTCGCGGTAGCGGATATTATGATTATCCTGTGGGGGAAAAAACGCGATATCTCTCGATCATAACTTTTGATCGCAATATTTGCAAGTGCTGTTAGCATACTGCAACAAATCAAGAGCCTTCGTGGGGTTGATTAAGCCATTATCGAGTCCACCTGCGGGCTACACCGCGGGCAATCGCATAAGCGAATACCCGGCGGAGTAGTTAAACGACTGCAAACTTCCATTTTCACTGTACATAATGACTTCACTAGTTTCAAAAGCGGCGCAACGTACCGCTACCTCCTCCTCTTCGTCGCAGGAATTTCCTAATTAATTATCACTATAACGCGATATGCAAACTTTTATTTTACTATGTACCTTTCTTTCATTACGGAACGGATAACGATGCGAGCTCGAGCTTATTAGCGCGGTTCATAAATAATTTTCTTAATTAACAAAAGAAACTGCCGGTTCACATCCCGGCGGCCTCGAATCGCGAGTGTTTCCGGGTCGAAATTCTGACGCTATTTTAACGCTCTCAGAGATCATTCGCGTCCACTTATATGGCTTATAGATCAATAAAAACCTTCGATGAAAAATAGAAATCTCTGACGATACGGATACTCGTTAACTTCTTTCTTGAACTTTCTACACACAGAAAAATACATAGCGTTCAAGTTCGAATAAATTATATGATTAAAATGAAAATTCTCAAGCTTATTTTGCTATCTTAGCTCATATTTTATTGTATTAAAGTAAAGATTTCACGTAGGGCTGAAATTTCGTCCCGGATTGCAGTCATTAGAGCTACGAATCCACGTAAGACACATTGTCGCAGGACGCGATACAATGTATGCAATCCGCGCCGTAAATTTTTTTTAACGAGACGATTACTTATCGTCTCCTGTGCGAAATTGTCTCTCATAAATTATCACGCCCCGCCGAGGGATACCGTCATTTTAATTCCGCCGGTGCTGATGACGCGCGGTGGTAACCGACGCGCGTCTCGAGCTGCGTCTGGCGGACGATGAGCGCGGCAATGCATAAATTAGTCGTGCGGAAATTACAGAGTGTGAGGCCCGCCTTCCCCGCGCAACCAGATCACCTTTCTCAGGCTCCATTAACCGCGAGGGTGCTTTCCCTGTCACATCTCGCCGTGCGTCTTCTCTAACACGAAGATTATCCGCGGAGTTATGGCTCCCAGGTCCATAAATTCCCCGTGGATGCCGAGGAAAAAAGGGGGAGAAAAACGAAAGATAAGAGAAAGAAGGAAAGATAGCGTGTAAATCGATACGACGAACTTGCCGTGTACCTTCACGATACCGCCTGCAATAGAGACTTTTTTTCGATGCAGTTGAGGAACGCGAAGGATGGTCCAACGAGAGGACTCGTTTTCGAAAAATAAGGAACCTCTTGTTGGACCATTTGCTGAGTTTTACAGTCGAGAAAGCATCGTGAAAAGATGTCCAAACCGTTTAGAAACCGAGTTCAACGAGCTACGTTCGCGTAGGATCCCGATCGGTCGGACCCGATCGAGTCGGGCATCATTCTCTCCCGTTCGTTCGCGCCTCGTGATCAATCGGGCCCGCGGCGCGAACGGTCGAGAACAATGCGGCGGCGAACACCGGGTGGAGAATCGCATTGCGAGACAAATTTCGCAGCGGCGAATCGTTCTTCGTCGCGGATTTGAATCGAGCTACGCACGCTCGTCCGCGCCTGGCTCGGTTGAACGCACCGACGCACATCCGCACAACGCACTTCTACCGCGGCATCCGACACTGACGAATGTCATTATTCCGAACATTCGAGGAGATCGGCTGGTCCCACCTACCATTTCCCGTTTGTTGCTATCCACCAAGTGTCCGAGAAATTATCGCATCGGACCAACTGGCTCGGATACTCGGCGTGCTGCACCGCAATTTACTCGGGAATTCGATCGCAGCTTCAATCGGTCGGCTCTCTCTCTCTCTCTCTCTCGGTGTCGAAAGTTCACAAAAGTTCAAACTTGCTAGACGATCTGTCGATAAAACGATACGTTAACGGAACACCGTATATATAGGACGCCTACACACAGATTTATGTATAGGCAGCCGCTGGCGTCTCGCGCTATCGCGCTCGCGGATCCGTCAATACGCTGGCTGGAAAAAAAGCCAATTCAATTCGGAAGCACGCGTGGTGGCGGTGAAAGTGAAAGGAACAATAAAAAAACAACAACAAGCCTGAAGGCAAGCTTAAGACGTAGCGAATATGAGATAACATATAACCCGAATATTCATTTTGGAATGGTAGCGTATTATGTAATAATTCGGGGAGAACTGCCGAAATCGTATTACTTAAGGTATATTTTGAAATGTTTACTTCGCTTGGAAAACACAATGCGCTTCGTTCAAGTTTTGATTGCGTTTCCTCTCGTTCATTTGTTTGATATATTTATCATCGGATCACGCTTATATTCAATAATGACGAAAAACAAATAGGACACGATTCAGGGGAGTGGTACGCATTGTAGGCAACTCTCCTTTAAATGAAGCGGGCATGCTATTCCGTTAAGGATCAAAATTGTTTCATGAACATTTTTTTAGCTAAGAGACCGGTTTACTTCCAGGTAATCATACGTGTTCTTTAAAGGTATGTAATATGATTATGAAACGTTACATATGTGTTACCTGAGTTCATTTCCTCGAAGTAACAGAATGCTCTTCATTATGTTCCTATACGGTTTGTATAGGAAGAGAATTAGTGCGCCAGGGAATAACTCGATCTTGATAACATATAAATATAAAAATGTAAACGTAAAAATAAAATCACACATCAACCACGAGCAAATTTATTTTAAAATCACATATCGACAGAATTATTTTGATAAGAAATCCTATGTGGGACACCGGCGGCTAAATTGAAGAGATATAGAATACAGTACGCACGGAGTCGATTCAGTCGAATGTATAAGAAAAAAGGCACAAAGAGGTCAGGACGGTGAGTTTCTATCAGAAACGTGGGAAACGTGGAGCGAGGAAAGCGCGCGGAGAGGAGAAGCGAGGCTCACGTATCGAATCGGCCGAGGTAATCGACCAGAGTAATAAGCCGGCGGGACGTAATCGTCGCCAGACGTGGCCAGAAATTGATGTGTCGTTTGCACTTGAAATTTTTACAACGCGGAAATAAATCAGCTGTTTGCGAGACCCGAAATATCTATGTGCTTCATCGGCAGAAATAGCATCGATATATTTTATAATATCTCAGCCGCCCTCGCGTTCGCGCACGCGCGCGCGTTACGCTTCCGGCTGGCCGGCAAGGGATATTAAACGATAGGAAACGAGAAGAAATAGAAGTAGAGAGAAATAAAGAGAGAAAGAGGGACAGAGAGAGAGAGAGAGAGAGAAACCAGTTTCGTGTCAGCGGCACCCAAGTTCTCGCGGCCAATCTTTATTGCGCTCGAGGAAATTGCACGGTTAGGTTAAATGAACGCTGTAATAATTTTAACGCGATACGATACTGCACGGCGCAGCACAGCGCGTGTCCGATATCCGACCGCGAGAGATAGCAACGCTCGTAAAATTCGATTAAGCTGACTTTTATGAAAACCCCGTTGGCAGAAGATATTCTTATCGGCAGCGAATTTCGGTTCGTCACACCGCGCGTTCGGATAACGCGGACTCGGCGAAAATCGTTCCGCGGTTTCGCGGTGTGAAATCGCGGAAATTCGCCCTTTAAATTTATAGAAATGTCACCGGGGATGTAATTAGAGGGGATGGGGAGCAGTATAGGAAAGGTCTATTTCTGCCAGCGTTCTTCTTCTTTTTCCTTCTTTCTCTTCTTCTTGGCATCTGCGTGAAACCACGCCTAATACGATCGATCGATCGTACACATGTGGAGCGGACGACGTAGAATTCTTGTGCCGACGTCACGTGCGCGCATCCCGAGTCCGCGGTGACATCATAGATCGGAGACGCGAATAGAATGGGAACGGGACCACTAATTTTAACCGCAGATTAATTAAGAACCTACAATTTTGCGAGAGACTTTATTTCAAGTTTCCCCAGACGGTGGCGGCGTTCGCGATATGTCAGAACGCTCGAATATGGAGTGCACCTTCACGCTGTGCACCTTTTTGTGTGCCAAGTGGCTTAATCTTTTGCGAAACGCCGAGGACAACCGATTATATACAGGGCGACACAATGTATATCGTTTATACAGTTTAATTCACTATATAGGACGAGACAGCGCGTTATATAAAATTAGATTGGTGAACAGTGTTACATGTTTATATAGTATTTCATGTAACACCCTGTATATATAGATTAGAGAGATATCGAGGCATTAAAAATTGACAAAGAATATTAATTAATAAGAATATTAATTAATAAATAAAGGATAAAGGATAAAGGATATTAATTAATAAGGATATTAATTAATAAGAATATTCGAATATTTATAGATATAAAATTTACGCAACAGATTTAGATAATAGATTTAACAGATAGAAATTTAGGGAATACCAGAAAATTAATATTCGGTTGGTAGAAATTTATAAAATAAGACGTCCAAGTCTAATGAGTTACATACATTACATCGATGTTTTTCTTGCGACGCCCGCAGTTCGACGCGACGAAGAAGTGACGAAAGCAGAAACCGTCACGCGGAATGTTCCGAGGAAGAAACTTCCGTGTTTCATCGAGAGATACCCGGGTTTCCGCGTCTCCTCACATTTATACCTCGTATTCCCTCCGTATTTCCCCGTTTTCTGCCGCAGCACACATTATTTTCCCTCATTGAATCTCAGGGAGGTTCCTGCGAGTCCTTATCGTCGAAGGGCGGCGCTCTCACAGGAAGCGATTCCGGGGTGCTCGAGCTGAGCGACAGTGGCGGAGGTGTCCTCAGCAGCGAATGGGACGCGGTACCGGGCATCGTGAGGCAATGTATCAGGCACCTCGAGGCCAACGGTCTTCGGACATTAGGCGTGTTTCGCGTGTCACCCTCGAAAAAAAGGGTGAGGCAGGTATGACGCATTTGTTCCTTTTCTCTCACAATAACGAAAGCGCATCTCGAGCGTTAACGCGCGCATGCCGTTACGCGAATGGAAATTTACGCGAGGCGCACGAATCCCCGAATCGGAGAACCGAAAAAAAATAGCTGCGAGCTGATAAGAATTTATTTCGTGCACGCGTACTCTTTTCCCCGATTGCCGTGTGCTCTTTCAATTATTTCCACGGCGAGTGACGCTTTTTGGATTATTCTCGGAAAATGCGAGGAGACACGTGAAACGTACAGCGCGAAAATATGCAGAAAAGTTCGGTTATAATTATCAAGGCCCTCGAGATTAACGATCATTAATGAGGGAAGGCAAATAAGAGCCAAGCCTTAAGTGTTACTTATTGCAATACAATACAATGTTTTGGCGACAAAATTATTTAATGTTGAATATTACTAAATTATTTTGCATTATATTCGACATTAAATAATTATAAAAGGTCGCCGCGAAAATGACACTTTAGGCTTGGCTCTCACTCGTCTCTCCTTATTAATGACAGAAAAGTTGAGTTTCGCCGGCGAAAGATCGATACGATTGGCAGCTCGATCACCGCCTTCGGGTTAATGCAGGCTTAGATTGGAAAGTGACAACTCTTCGTACGGCACATTTCGCACAGTGATCCGCTCGTTATCGGATCTCTCTGAATATTGTCTCCGCAATATTGTCCATTACCGCGTATCACGAACACGATGGAGATGAAGTATTCATCAAACGTCGCTAATTATAGCTCGGAGGTACGAATCGTGCGTCGATCGCTGCGGAGTCGGGGAATTTCGATTTTCGCAAATCTCTCGTGAAACGTGCTGGGCGTACCCGTGCTTGCTCGATGGATCTTTGAAAGCTGACACTGATGATTAATTACAGTTAAGGGAAGACTTTGATTGCGGTCGGGAGACCAAAATAGGTCCCGACCAGTGTCCCCATGACGTAGCCACCCTCCTGAAGGAATATTTCCGTGATCTACCGGATCCTTTGCTTTGCAGGGATCTGTATCAAGCCTTCGTGCATACTCAAAGTAAGCAAGGATCAGGATTCTAATCGGACTTAAGCCGCTTAACAGGTTATCCTCCTTCCCCAGCTTCACTCTCGTAACCTAAAAGTAGAGCTTGAATCCGGTTTGCATTGCGGTTCTGAATTTCGCTCCTCCGAGAAGAAGAAGGGGAAACAAATTTGTCCATCACTTTCGCTAGAACAAAGTTCACTTTCGCGCTAAGACGTGTCGAGTGTTCTCCCTCTATTTCCTCTTTTTCTTCTCTGTCCCTTTTCCCTGCCACTTACGACAACCCAACAGGGGAGCTTCCGAATTATATCGCGGTCCTGAAAACGCTTTTCCGCGAAAAGAGGAAAATCATTAGTCTATTATTCTTGCCAGCGCGCTAAATTGGCTTTCGCGCTAAGGTGTCGATTGTTTTCGCTATTTTCCTCCTACATTTTTTCCCCCCTTCTTCGTTCCTCTCTCCCGCTTCTCACGATTCCTCCCAAGGCTGCTGCGAATTCCCGACCTCCTCGGCTGCCGGGCGGTCGGCATAATAATAAGCGGACCGGGTTCGACTGTTTTCCAGAGATCAGGAACAGACGGCTGCAGCAGGAAGCTCTTCAGCATCTCATTCAACTTCTACCCACGCCCAATCGCGAGACTCTCTGGGCGCTCTTGAACTTCCTCAGCGTGGTCGCGGCGAACAGCGAGGACCAGAAGAACGAGGCCGGGGAGTGGATGCCGGGGAATAAAATGGATACGACGAATCTCGCGACCGTCAGTACTCGCGAGAGACACCTCTCCGACTTGGATTTCTTTCCGATATCCGATCCCCCCTCCTTCCCCTCGCCGTTCACTCTGCTCTTAGCTAAAACACGAAAGCGAAGTTCTCGGTCGATCGAGATACTGCCGCGGAATTCATGAACAGCTCTTCCGTTTCGAATTCCCTTTATCTTGATCACCTCTCGCCGAATGCCTCGTCACGTGACCGAAGGTCTGTTCGTTTCAGTTGGACTACCGCTGCGCTCGAACTTCGCTCGTTTCTTTCCCGCGATGACGTATTTATTTCGCTTCGAAGGCGGAAGAAGGTGCGACGTAGCGCAGCGAAAAATAACGGACCTTAATTCATTGAGCAGAGGACCCCGCGAGTCGACCTCTCTTTTCTTCCCTTTCTAACGCTTCCTTTCAAACGATTAATTTTTCCCAAACATTTCTGGGGTCGACTTCTTTTTTTTATCTATCCGCGTATGAAAATTTCCGGAAGATCGAAAGAGTAAAAATATAAAACGGACCGTGAGATATTTGTGAAGAGATGTTCGCTCGGCGAAGTTAGATCCACCGGATGGAGGGGAAACGTTCAATTCCGCCGGCGTCTCGCGTGTGATTTCAATTTCGAGACTTTCCGCCGCGAAAGACGCGAGATTAGTGAATTCGGCCGATACGGCCCAGCCGTCAATCAACGGTGGGCCGTCGCAAAACGATTCAATTAAGCAATCGATACGTGCCGCGAGCGCAAGTCAGAAACGTCCGATTCCGAACGAATTTTCAGGTGTTCGCACCGAACATCCTGCACTGCATGAAGCCCGGCCAGGTGAGGTCGGAAGTTTCGGCGGAGCGGGCCGAGGAGAGGATAGACGTGATAAACGTGATGCGGGCGCTGCTCGAACACACGTCGACGTTGTTCACGGTGCCGGCCGCGTTGCTGGACGAAGTGTACCTGCACATGATGGACACCCATCCGGTCGACCTGGATATGGTTCTATCTCGTCGCGTTGAAGAGTGAGTGTCCCGCGTTTATTCGTACGTCGTCGTCGTTGTCGTGCGTGGGAGAAGGCGATTAAACGTTGATGTGACAGAATTCGCCGGACGAAAAATAGGTGTTGCAAAGCAAGTAGCGGAGTGACGTCAGAGAACTTCGATGTGACGTCAATATGACGCCAATATGACGTCACATTGCTACCTGGGAAGCATTTAACCTTTTCCTCTAAGCGCTAAAATGTAACGCGATTTCTAGCAAAAAGCGTTTCCAGCCGGTATTCCAATTCTTGATAGCGGGAAATGCTTTTTGCAATCAATTACGTGACATTTTATCGCTTGGAATAAGAGGTTGAAGGGTTACCACGCCTGTCGTAGGGCCAACAGAGATATCATTTCTTGTCACCGAGTTTTCATCTCCAGTCTCCACTCGCAGGAACTGAGTGTTTCTGCATGCACAGCAGATCCGTTCTTTTTAGCTGAGATAAAAAATAATTCATGTCACCAAAAATCTAGTTATTTTCGGCTCTATCTATGTTTTGTCGCTATTCTGACGGAAAACAGTAATAGCAACAAGAGATAATAACGAAAACCAAGAGCGGGGCGAAAGTTGCCGCTATCTCTCGTATCGAAATAAGTTTCGTGACATCCTGTATAACTTAGCGCTGTGACGAGAAAAGGAAGGAAGTTCTTACCTCGGAAGCAGCTCAGCTAAAAGGAACAGACCTGATATCTTGCAAACATTTTATATTTGATGCGTCCGATGACGTGGAAGAGAGCATCTTCCATCTCGAAGTTTCCGTAGCTGAGCGTCGATTTTCGCGCGTATATCGCGTGCATCCTCGCGCATCGAGAAGCGAGAAAATCTAAGGAAAATTCCGAAATATGTTTTTGCAGGCAATGCGGGGATGAAGCGGATCCCTGCAGCGAGGCGGAGACCTTCTCAGTGGAGGAGACGCTGACTACGTCGAACACGACCACCACCACGGCAACGACGACGTCGGCGAGGAAGGTGGCTACACGATCGTGCATTCTCAGTCTGCTTACGTAGAGAGGCTTACATCTCGCGCGCGCGCAATTGAGACGAACGGGAAAGAGCGGCGGAGCGCGCAGCTTCGGCTTCGAATTTGGCTCTTCGTTGTAGATTTCACGGGCTGTCACGAAGGAATACGTGAGATCGTATCTAAAATTGTCTTCGCGAACGCGCGGCGCTGCGTACCGCTACTCTCGTTTCTCGCGGTCGCGAGTTTCATCGAGACGTGTCTAGCCGCTTTGTAACGAAAGTAAAACCCACCTCGTCGTTACGCACGATCTCGCCGCGCTGTTTCGTCAGGGGCTTACGAATGTTCGTCGGGTTTTTAGCCGCTTCCCTTTCATTCACTTCTACTTCACCCTCGTTACCTTTCGTTCACCTCTGTTCGCCGTATTTCTCTTATTAATAGTGACAAAACATGCGCCAGGTTCATTAAAAATGTCCGTTGTCTTAACCCGCCACTTTCCTCCACCTTTCGGATAAAATCGCCTGTTTGATTTTTCTCTTATCTTTCGCGCCCACCAAGTCCGATTCGTCGAATTTTCGCAACACCCTGATAAATTTTCCCCGAGTTATGAGATATTCAAAATTATGGAAATATATGATATTAAAGGGGCAAGGAAGAAGGAGATCACTAGTCGCTACAAATATATACTCCTTCTTACTAAATTCTTATTATTATTATTTGACAGATTTACTTACCGTCGCTATTTAAACGCTATTTAAATCGATCTCGCGTGCGACTCGACGTGGAAATAAAACCCTCCCTTCGTTGTCTTCCGCTTCAGATGTGGACGAGAGAGCAGTGTCTCCATCAGACCGCCGGAGTCGGCGGTGATATCGGACCAAGGCCACGACGGCCCAAGAGACCAGGAAGTCGAAGGAAAGAGGAGGGCAGGAGCAACAGTGTCGATAGCGGATCGAGCGAGGATCCGGCTGATCCTCGTAGAAGATCCTCGCCAATAGTGATTACCGCCAGTCTCACCATACCCATGTCCGACGCGTTCACCTTGAACCTCGACGACCCGGACATTCCTTACATCGAAGAGGCGCCGAAGCAACCGAGCGCTCCCCCGAGGCGGCAGAGGCAGAGGTCCATTTCCGGTTGCAGCGAAGGTTTGTATATCTCCCGTAATTCCACGTATTGTCGCGAAAGCACTTCGAATTATTCTTCAAAGCGTTCAAGGGAGATATGTGTGCGGGTGTAGCGAAGAGATAAATTGTTTTTCTTTTAATTTTTTGCCAGACTAACATACGAGTAATTTATTTTTTATATCAATCGCGCGCGCGGTCAACTTGAGGCGGAATCGGTATTAGAATACACAGAAGCGTAGCGATCGATGTGTAAGATAAGTTTCAAAAGGATTTGAACACTCTCCTTGGTGCATTTTAGAACGCAAACGATGGTCCAATGAAAGAACTCGTTCACGAAAGATAAGCTCTCTCGTCGGACCGTCGGTTGCGTGTCAAAAAAACGAAGCTTACGGTACCATAAAGAAGAGGCGATAAAATCACCCAGCCTGTGAACTTGAAGCAAACTGTTAAGAAAATTTGACTAAGAAGAAAGACTAAGAAGAGGCGAGTGACGTTATATCCGTAATCGTTGTTTCTCCGATAAGGAATTATCTTCCGGGATGTTTGTCGTCGTATCGATACTTGGGGGTGACTAACCGATAGTTAATATTTAATCGAAGCATGACTCAAAGCACCTTTCAATTATGGTATCTTAAATTTATCCTTTCCCTCCACCTTCGAATCCACCTGATGCTATCTAGAGAAAGAGAGAGCTGTGTACAGATTGTCCTGGAATTTAATTAAAATTAAGTGTCGGAAGACAAAGAGAGAGAGAGAGAGAGAGGGAATTACGAAATTGAAGTTGAAACCCAATACCTCCGTTTTTCCAGGTGGTCGACACGGAAGTGACAGCGCCGTAGGCTCCTCGGCGACCCTGTCGGGCGACCAGGCGCCGAGTTCACCTCCCTCTTGGGCGTCGTCACCCCCCGCCAGTCCCGACAGCGCGGTCACCGCCGTTTCGTACATCCCGCAGGATCAGCAGGCGGTTCTCCAGAGAGTCTCGTTCACGACCTCGGGCGACCTGCGGCAAGTGAGCAGGTCGGCCAGCCAGGAAACGAGCAGGAGTACAGCGGCGCCGTACACACCGAGCATCACCAGCATCGGCGGTGCGGTTTTGAGGTGAGTGTCTTATTGCCTTGCTGCCTGCCTACCTGCCTATCTGCCTACCTGCCTGCGGTTATACCGTGCAAACTCAGCTAAAAATTCTCACGTGACGTTACTACTCGAGAATTACGATTAACATTGAGCTGTCCCGAGTCGACATTTTTATTATCTTATCGTAGAATTCAGGATTTACCGTAGAACTAAAATTTGAATTCGAGTACGGCAGCATTTCGAAGACGCGTGGAAATTGCCTGATGAAACGGGTGAAAATTTCTCGACGGAAAGCCCCGAGTTGTCGACTTGATAACGTGAATCGTTCTTCGGAGATCGACGTGCCGGGAGAGAAACTAAGAAAAACATTTCCCCCCCCCCCCGAGTGCCGATTAATTTTATAACTCACCTATCGGAGGGAGCTCGTCACTAACACGCAAGAATTTGGTTCAATGAATTGCTCCGTCCATTTCGCGGTTTATCAGTAGTGCGCTCGCTCGCTAATAGCCGGAGTGTGCAAAACTCGTGAAGCACGGAGTGATTTGCGAGATTCACGGCGGTTCTGCGAGCGCAAATAAAGGCAAATGCGCGGCCCGCGCGTTGATTCAGGTCCAAGACCGAGGATATCGAGAGAATGCTGCAGATCGCGCGGCCGGATGTCGACCCTGTGACCCTGCAGACCGGCAAGAACTCGACGGTGACCTCCAGCGAGAGCAAGAAGTACACGAAGAGGAGGTACACGGACTCGAGGCATCAGACGCGCCACATACCGGACGCCAACACCCTGGCCGGCAAGACGTCGTTGAGCGCGACGGCCGCGTCGTCGATGACGATGTCGTCCTCCGCCGCCTCGGCGATCACGGCCACGCAGCGGGTGCCGGCGCAGTCGGTGTGGAAGAGGCGGGAATTGATCTCCAGTGCTCCGAAGGACAGGGAGGGATATTTCTGAGCTCTCACTTTCGCGCGATCGTCGAGCCGAGAGTCGTCGAAATCGATCGCCGCTGAATTCGCAGGCTGGGATTCAGACGGACTTCAGACGGACGCTCATCGGTCACTGTTGAGAGCATGATTATCTTCGATAGCGACGATAAAACCGTTTGCTCCACCGTGTACAGGGTGTCTCAGACGGGATTGAATTAATTGGATCCAGAGATTCTCGGAGCAATTCTCTCGGAGACAGCTTTCAATAGTCAACATATCTTTGTAATTAATGCCCGAAATAAATGTTCGTTAAAGCGAAGTCCACTTGAAATAGATGGAAGGAAATCATTTTTCGTTCATTCATTCGGTCGACCGAAGCTTGGTTTGCGAGAAACGCCGCTTTTTCGACCGTATCATTGACGCCTCGACGTTCCAGCCGAGGAAAAGTTAACTCCAAATTGCTCAGCGAATCTCTCGGTAAGATTAGAAGTCTCGAGGTCTGAGATATCCTGTACGAGACAGTCCGGCTTTCCGGAACAACTATGGACACGCGTCGACCTGGAAATCGATGCGACTCGAGGCCACCCGGGAAAACCCGGGAAAGTTCGCAGGGGGATGCGGGCGAATTTCCTTTTCGTCGGTCGCTTCGCGGTCGAAAACGTCGGTCGTCGAATCGTCGATAACGAGGATAATATTCCAAAACGCGGCCTCGCGTCACTCGAGAGGGGAAGTTCCGAAAGATTTCGCCCCCTCCTTTCTATTGAACTCCGTGAAAATCCACCGTTCGGATGAAAGCGTCGCGACCGTGCGGGATTTATCGGTGGATCGTATATACTCTCCATAAATACGCGCGTAGGCGAGGCGGGTGTATCCCGAAGCGAGGGGCGGCATGCTTTGATACTTCTGTATACCTTCGCGGAGACGGCGACGTCGCTCTACGGCGCACAAACAGGAAGGGCTAAGGGAATATGCGGGTGATACGCGCTTGCGAAGGAGGATAGCTCATCGTATACCGGGACGGTGTGTTTACAAACGTTCGCGTATACATATTAAGCATGCGAAGCGTAAACCGTCCTCCCAGCTTATCTCGCTGCTCGCTAAGAATACCATCGATCGGGATGACGGCCGAGGAAAGAGAACTCTCTCTCGAGAGAGAAAAAAATAGTCTCGCTATCGAAACGCTCGTTCAACCTTACCGGGGAATTGACTCACCATGTGTACACCACGGCGTCATGTTTTTCTTACCATTCCCTGGATTGAAAATTACGCGATTTTCAGTCTTACACGTATGTAATGTCGAAACCGTCATAATTATACCCGTCCTAATCATAACCCTACTATTATAATTAGAGTTACTATGCAATTTTCCGTCTTATGCGTACATGCATAAGCTTGAAAATCGTGTACTTCGGCCGACCAATCAACGTGAACTTCTGACGATTCTGCGGAGAAAAGTTATACAATTGTTGTTTATAGATTTTATTATATGTTTACTTTAGTATTGCAGAAATTATTGTAAAAATGCAGGTTGAAGTATATTAGAGACTCGAGAATGTCGAGAAACTCTCGGTCTAGCGAGTGGTAAATTATATACGATGCAGTGTACACACACACACACACACACACACACACACACACACACATAGTCGGTAAATTGAATGTTGCAGCGCTTTTTCCTCGATGAGTTTTCGCAATGCATCTCGTACATTTAAATGCGTTCGATTCCTCCTTCATCCTAACTTCATTATCGACAGAATATAACAAACATCACGGTAAATCGACAGTTCGCCGCGAAATTCCACAATAAAAAGAGAAATCCCCTCGGATAATCGACAGATGTCATATTTGTGTCGCTTCGAGATGAAATAATTTTTTCCTGAATTTAACACATCGTCGACCGCGCGAATCATGCCTTTTACCAGACTTTTCAAGCTTCATATTCCGTAAATCGTACCATATTTTGACCCGAATTTTTACAATAATTCTTGCAATACTAAACGTACACGTGGAAAATTCGAATTCCGGTCGACGAGAATACGCGGTAGCTCGCGGAAACGTGACGATAGAAAAACTTTCGGTACTCGATGAAACGCGAGTTTCTCGAAACCGCTTCCTCTCTCGCAACGCCGCCTTCACTTACAGCGCGCCGACCGTCGCCTCGCACCGCGATGTGATTCATCCTGTCGCGACGTATCATCGCCGTCTCCGCGCGGCAAAGGTGCCCCTTACGCTCGATCAAGGCGCGTATCGGCCAGCTCGCGTCTCCGTCTCTCTCGCACAGCCGATTTCGCGATTCGGTCGACCGGGGTAGTCACTGCCGTTCAGGCGTGGCCTGGAAAAGTGTTCCTCCGCTTCTCGCATCGGGTATCGTGGGTGGTGGTGTTGTTGGTTCCTAGACTACCGTCCTGCCGGCCGCGACGACGGAACGCGCATTCTCGCGGCGGCAGTCTTTTATCGACCGTTCGCGACCAGACCTTGGCAGTGCTGGGAACGGCTCGGAAGGACGGGAAAATTCGCATGGGATGCATGGTGAAACGTTACCTCTCTCTCTCTCTCTCTCCCTCTCTCTCTCTCTCTATTTCTGTCTCTCCCTCGCGACTTTCCCCGCGGAACTACCGATCATCGCGAGATCAGCGTCAAGCTCTTGAAATTGTTGCCGCTCGCTGCGTCCGCTTCGTTCGGCGGCGAACGATCGAGAATCCTGAGAAATCAATTCGTCTTTTTATTTGCTCTCCTCTCTTCCCTCCACTCTTCATTCTCTCTCTCTCTCTCTTGCTCTTTCATCTACGACGAGACTATTAGCGTGAACTGTCGTGAAGAACGCGTGGCTCGAAATTCAAGAGGCGCCGAATCATCGTCGTCGTTTTCTATTCGCAATGTCTCTCTCTCTCTCTCTTTCCCTCTGTAAGCTAATAAATGAAAGTTAATTTTTTTACCACGCCTTGTACTTTATTTCGACCTCGTCATAGATCAGGCCTGTCTTTAAACGGTTGAAGCGGAAAGTTCCATCAAGTTGACTTCTCCTTCTCTCAAATTACCGCTGCTGTGTGATAAATGGATATCTTGATATTTTTTATACTTACTAAATATGAAAAAATATAGTATATCATATTAAAATATAACATATATTAGCCTTTTATTAATATAATATATATATTATTATATTATAAATTATAATATACACTACATTATATTAAAAAAAAATTATACCAAACAATCTTTGACTGTCACATGAATTACAATGCTTTCAAAAAATCCATCTCAGAAGAATTCCTCACGAATGTGTTCCGATTTAACAATTCGGAAGTATATGTAATGTTCGTTCTCAATATTAACGCAGCTACTACCTTGTTGAAACAACAAGGATAAGAATAAGAATAAGCTCCGAGATAAGATGAGGCGCGTCATCATGTTATCTTCGAAACATTCACACGTCCCCAACGTGGCGTCCCGGCCGACGCAAGTGATGAATATTTAACTTGTGTAAAAAGAGGAAGGCGGGAGGGGGGTCTACGACGGCAACATGCGCCGCCGCAAGAAGTTACGCGCGTGCGTTTCTTCTCTCCCTTTTCTTTTTTATTGAAACTCGTTTATTATTCAATATCTCACGTGCCGTCTTGGACAAGCACTTACATCACGGTCGTCGTCGATAATATCATCGAGTATGGTACGAACTTTACAAAAACAGCCGACTTAACAAGTACAGATAGGTGCAGATGTGACGAACTATATTCGGATCGGATCGGAAAGTCGAATGTCCGCGTGTAGGTAGTAGATAGGTAGATAGTAAAAGGTAGGCAGGTAAGTATGTACAGTGTATAACGATTACATGGTCGATCGGCTCAGCGTCCGAGACAAGTCAGTAGTAGAGGTTAACCGTTAATATTATCCCCGTGAACAATAACAACGAAGTTTTATCGTAACAATCTCGGTGTCGTGGGTCGACGTGAGAGAACGCATTAGCGCGATGATAAGCTCGCGCAGACGTAAAGACAAGCGCTTGAGAGCTGTCCTATACATCGGTTCGAACTGCGGAATATTTGTGCTTTCATAAAAAAAAATTACAATCGATATTACGTAAAATACCTTGGCTTTTATCGGCATTAGTTAAGATATCTCACTCAATTTCGAATATCTAAAAGCTTTCCAATAACATTGGTCAACAAATTTCGTATCATGAATTGTATTCTTTTTGAATTTTAATCTTTTCCATTTGTGTTTATATGTTAAAATACAGAAAATGATAACACAAAATTATATAGCTACAATAATTCAAGATGTATAAGTCAATAGTAATGTGAAGATAAAACAATGGAACGTATTTTTACTATAATTTCTTATATTTTCTCGTTTCATACTGTCAGAAAGAAAATGAAATTCATCTTAAATAATATATTATTAGGCGTCTTTTTTAACGACCTCGAAATATAAAGGATGTTAGAACGAAAGAATAGAAATAGCCTCTATCTTCCTACACGAAATTAAAACACATGTCTTATTCATAAAATGTTACAGGACTTTCGTAAATATCATCTCAAGGTAAAAGTTAGCTTTAAAAAGAAAATTATTTCAAAGGCATTTTCCTCATATCACGAAAGCCTCGAGTTTTCCTCCGATTATTGTTTACTATGCAACGGCAATTAGAGATAAGTTTTGAATTTCATTGTTAGATCTGTGATCGATATCACAAAATTAACAAGAATTAAAGATTCAGAATACAATTTTCGTGTTGACCAGTATATAATCATTAGAAATGAAATATATTTGATTTTTGATCTCACGTCGGGACGGTTTCTCATCCGCGAAATGAGACGATATAAATGATCCGCACGTGCAATTAATCTAATTAAGAGATACATTTTTGAAAAAGCGCCGCTATCGCTGTACCTCGAAGTGTCAGTCGAACGAATGAGCGGGTAATTTCTCGTTCATCATAATCGTCGATCAGTCTCTCCCCGTGGACGTCGATTTGAAAGCTCGTTTTTGCCCGGCGCGCGAGATCACCCTCAGCTAATTTTCACGCTCATTATTGCGTTATATGCTCGCCACAAAGGTACACACGGGGAAACTGGGTGATCGTGAGACACGATCTCGCGGAGGTTCTTCGATAGAAAAATAAGAAGAGCACGTATACTGAAATGTACTTAGAGAGCGCGCGCGACTGATCTCACTGTGTTCGCCTTGCCAAAACGGTAAGGTAAGCCTACGAGACTTAATTCCTAGGTTTGATTAATTTCGCGCCCGCGACGACCGCGCGCATAGGACGATGAATAAATTAAATTTCGAGCGTGGACACGCGCGAACACCAGCGACGCGCTCGTTCGCAAAGTGAGATATCCCGAACAGCGTCGTAAATATCTCTCCGCGGGAATTAAAGGGACGCGATATCAAGTTCCGCGGACAACAATGCAAATCACGACAGGAGGAAATCGTACAAGCGATAAAAATGTATGATACTACTCGGCGGCGTGAAATGAGGGATAATGAAGGNGGGGGGGGGGGGGAAGGGGAAAAACGCGTCGCGATCTGCTCGAGGCAAGCCACGCAAGCGACGAACTTCTATCCTCGCATGCTCAATTAAACATATATATGCGGATTTATATATATATATATATATTTCTTTCTCTCTTTTTTTCTATACATATATTATTTTAAAACAACCACTATAAAATATAAATATATTTATATATTTATATTCACGTATATATATATCTTTTTTTTTCTCTTGCCGTTTCACGGCTAGCTGCCTACGTAGGGCTGGACGGATGTGATGCTATAATGTGAGTTCATCTTCCTTTCTCTCTCTCTCTCTCTCTCTCTCTCGCGACCAGGAGCGGCGAGTGAATACTACTAAAGTTAATAACGCAAAGCGAGGAAACACGAAAAGAACGGGAAAACGAGGAGAAAAAACGTATCACGTATCCTGCGATTTTCACGGCAACCCGTTATGCCGAACGATAATAATCAACGATCGATCTCCTTACGGAGAAGGGATTTTTACTTGTTCTATTATTATAATATATAATTTTCGCACACATATATATATATAAATCTCGATTTGCACTTCCGATAACTGCTAGTTTAATTGAACTCAAAGTAAGTATTTAAATAACTCCGTCTATACATTAAAGCCCAATTCATAATACGGTGCTACAGCGCTGAATTGATCTTGATTAACCAATACTGTAGATATCGGTGCGACCGGTTTTTCCTCATAGTTAATAAAAAATCAACGTCTCTTCGTCAAGGATCGAATTATATTATGCGATACTTGCTCATCAATCGTGTAACTTTTAAGGGGCAATAATTCCTACGTAATGAGTGCGATATACATTAACGTTATTACCGCGGTAAAAATGAGCGATAATACTAAACGTTAAAAAGTACTTGATCGGACGGAAAATTATTGATAGTTCTAACAACAGCAACAGCAATAATAATAATAATAATAATAGCAATAATAATAATAATAATAATGTGTTATTATAACACTGATATTTACACAATAGCTCGAAGAAGTCTTGCGGTGTTTACTAAATTCGGTAACGGTATATTGCCGTGCCTGTGTAAAAATCTATACATATTGCATAATACCTTGCGACCTCTCGATCGAGAGATCCAAAATATCTTGTGGATATCGTTATTAACAGTGGAAATTCCAGAATTAAACAGACGACACCTAATAACGGCGGGAATGTATAGCTGTAATAGTCATATTGACTCTGCGTGTAACAACAAACGAAGGGATCGTGCTGCAAACTTTCCGGCTTAATTAAACTTTGACACTGAATAACGTGCTTAATTGAATGATAACAGCAAGGGTCATTTATCGGGGATTGAATACGGCTGCGCGATTAAACGCTTCTCCGACCGGACGCGACTGAAATGAAATCATCGCGCGTTACATCGCAAACGAGATTGTTTTTTCCCAAATTTCTTTTCTCTTTTGTATCTTCCGCGTCGTTGCGAGAGACATTACGTTGGAAACCTGATCCCGCTTAAAAACTCCCGACACGTGGCTAACGCATCCCTCGATGCGAGCAATAAGTGAATAAAGGATGCAAAATAAAAGATCAAGAGCAGACTGGTGATCGTGCTTTGTAAACCGTGCGCGTGATAAATTTTGCATCGCTCGTACCCTTTCGCGTGCGGACTTTCACGGGGAAAGCAAGAATTCTCGACGATCGCCACAAGTCTATTTTTCGTTTGTTATCAGTTCTTTAGTTTGGCGCGCAGATGACGGTGTACTAACAAGACGGGAGAACGGAATGACGTGTGTGTACCAGATCGCAAAGTCATGAAATAATACGCGTTCTTCATCTCCCAAATTCGTTTTCTTTAGCTGAATATACGATAGAATTTTACAAATTCATTTTCACCTCATACATCCCCTTCTTGAAAATCACCCGAACTCCGCTCTCACTGCAGATTCAGCGGAGATGACTGGTAAATTTATTATTCGGCGATTATTGAAACTTACAATTACAGTGGGAGCTTTATCTAGTGTGTTTTTATAGATTTCGATCGCGACTCGATATTTTCTCAATGTCTTACGGTTATACATCTCTCTTCCTCTCTCCCTTCATTTCCACTCACAGTCACCATTCTATTCTCCCGCCAGTACCTTTATAGTCCACCAGCCGTTCCTTGCTGATTCTCTCACGGGTGTACATCGTGTAAAGGTATCGTAGAAAAATCGAAGGAAAGTATGACCTAATACTTTACAACATAGTCGTCTTAATCGATCGCGCGTCTCACGTAAATTCGTTCGATATATTACTCAGGTAGTTCCCTGGAGTCCCGGCGAACAGCCCGGACCCGTTGGGCGGATCGATGTTATTTACACTCCCTTATCGTGTCTCGCAACTAATGTTATTCCAAGCTCACGGGTGATACCCTCGGAATTCATTAGCGGCCCCGTCATCGGCATTGCAAACAACGTCGTCCAAGTACAAGCGGAGTTGTCGGTTGCCGACGGACCACCCTTCCTTCGCCGGGTCGATCGCGCTTCCGACAAAATGCTACGGTATTGAAGACCACCTACCATTAACGAAGCGCGCCACGTGGAACGGACTTCGAACCGAACGTCCTTGTCGCTCCGGCGACTCAACATCGTAGTCGTCGTCGTCGATCTCGCTCAGACGATCGCCGACGAGGTAATCGGCGACACCGTCGTCCTCACCGTGCACGCCTGGCCACAGTCACGTAGGCAGACTGTGAGGCAGAGCGTCGCTAAACCTCCGTCGAGTGTGTCTGTATACGCACTTTCTTCTGGGAGCCGTTCCTGGACAGAGTCGGGCTGTGCGCCGAGAAGCCGGGATTATGAATGCCGAGGGGTTTCGGCTTCTTCAGGGAGCTCCTGAGGGGCGAGGCCGTGCTGGCCACGCTGCCGGAAGTTGCCACCGACGCCATCGATCCGTTTCCGGCCCCTCCGACGTAGGGCTTGCCGCTGGCGTCTGTCATCGAGATCGTACCACCTGCGAACGAAGATGGGATTCATCGGATTAATGTGATCGCCATCGTTGGCCCGTGTCAGAGGATGCCTCTCGACGAGTTAACGTACGCAGGGAGAAATTAAAAAAATTGTACTAAATCCAAAGTAATCTTCTCTGTATTTACACGGAGAAAAATAATTCCGAGAGACTGCGAATTTTATCCTGTCGTGGTAAATTAATAAGTATACGGGATGTTTCTTGAGTATAACAGAAAAAAACAGTTGAATTGAATTAAATTGACAATAAACGAGCCGAACGCATTTCAGTCGAAGTCGAGTAATTTATTTTTCTCCAATTACGTTCGGACGAGCGATAATTGTTAGAGAGTAGTTCAATCTAGCTAGGTTTTGGCCCTAAAGAAAACGATCGAAAAGAATTCAGATCTAGAACAATGTCGAAAAGAATTTAGTTTAAGAAGAAATTATAGGAAATAGCTCGCGTGCAGGATATTGCTGGAGTGTAGCACGGAAGATTCTTATTTCTTCCAAAACTGAAAATGTCATCACCGAGCGCTGCGTACGCGTATCTGACGCATCGCTGAACGTTATAAAGGACGTTATAAACGTTATAAAGCATACTTATACAGCATGCATACACAAAAGAAATACATGGGGCGCATGTATGAGCTACATGTCAGCGACAGAGGAATGTCTTGACTGGAGATACAGACCGCCGGATATCCTTCGGAGTGCATGTCTCTCTCAAGATACCACCGGATATCCTCCGGGATACGTATTTCTTGGATAATTCGGAATCGACGTTTCTCCGAGAAGAAACTCGCTGCTACAGCCGAGTTCTCGGGGGATGAAATAAACGAGAGAAAAGTATGTTCATCAATTAATCAGTCCCAAACAGATTACGCTTTGATGGAAGGGCTTACAGTTTCGAGGAGAATCACGGTATATACCAGGGTCTGTCTCGACTTTCTCGCCGAAGAGAGATCGACTTGAAATTGCCCGAGGAATCGATTACTGAGAAAAACAGCCTCGAATAGCTTCGGCCGTCCAAATGTGCCTTATCTTAGAGCCTTAGATAGGGAAAATTCCAATAATGCTTTCCACTTCCAGATAGGATATTTCGACCCAGGCGTACCGTACCTACATTTTTTTTTGTGAGTGTTGGTTTTGAGGAGAAACGACAAGTCACATAATACATACAGAGAAGCGACTGGGTTCGATATATCGAAAATCACTATCTTATTTGCACGGAAACTTGAAGCAAGCAATGAGTAAGAAAGTTCAACTGTCAAGAGGTCAACCTCTATGATTAGTCTCAGCAAGAATACCTTCCCTGTATTGTTTTGCAGTTTTCTCGTTATAACCTGGCACGTCGAGAAAGGGTTCTATATCTAATCATGATATACTAAAATTATATGACAAAAATATATCATAATTTCCCGGTAATCTAATGCTCTTAGTCGCGGTCGCTAAACAAAATAGCTAGGGTATCGATCGCGTAACTTTCCCCCTAGGACGGAAGCGTGAAAAGTGAAAAGTTTTCAAATTAGAAAATCTACATCTTTCACTAATTCACGCTAGAGGGGAAGATTCATGATCAACGTGGTAATGAATCTTTTCCTCTAGCGCAAACTCGCGTGAAAGGTGTGGATCTTCTAATTTGAAAACTTTTCGCGTTTCCTGAGGGAAAAGTTACACGATCGGTATTTGGATCGCGTGATTCAAATGGCCAGTCAAATCATTCCAATGACGCTCTTCTCCACTTATAACTAGGACTCCATTCCAGACATCCGAGTGGCCTTATCTGAAATTTCCCCTCGTAAGTCGCAGTATTCGGTATGTACATGATACATATGTACAGCGGGACGCTGCTGCAGCGTTCGCCGCACGAGAGTGGTTCGCGAGAGGAGGAAAAAAATCACTCAGCTTTACGGTCGATCGTAAAGTGAAGCTAAATCGGCGAATTACGGTGGGTGGGTTCGATAGCGAGTCGCGGGGGGGAGGAGGAGTCTCTTTTCATGCGGCGACGGGCGAAAATGCGCACGTGGAGAATCGCCGTGAGCGAAGAGCGCCGCTCGGTGGGTGCTGCCGCATCGCCGCGCCGTTGCGGAACACCGAGCAAATTCGGCGAGACATCGCAATTTGCCGCCAGAACCTACGTGGACGGCATCGCCCCTGCGTACATCTTCTCCACGAGACCCCCAATAAACGCAATAGAGCACGGAGGCCGTCGCAACCACCGCTGCCTCCCTCGTCATTTTTTCGTCCTTCCATCCCCGTCGCGCATCCACTTACGCGCCCGGTGAGCGTTCTCTCCTCTCTCTCTCTCTCTCTTTTCAAATTTTAAGTAACGACTATTAATACGGGTCTCAATTGCATTCGTTTGCTTTTTAAATTTTTATATTGACTCCAACGTTCGTGACCAACGTCGGAGCAATGTTGGCGGATCTGTTTGCCCGGCTCAGGTCAGACGATTAATGCAGGTTACAGAAAAGAGCCGCTATAATGACATTTTGCCCTGAACGATCGCCTCGCGCGAAACCATTATAGTGACGTCTCGTCCTAAAAAAAACGTTTAACGGGAAGCCACGTCGTAATGGCACGTAGTGATCGGAAAGGTTAAAGCATCGGCAAATACGACCCACGCGACACACAAATCACTCTAATTTTAGGCGACTGAAACGGGGCCGCGTATTTCGGTGTGACCCTTAATTAGGAAAGTCGTCTCATTCACGGCGCGCGAACTAATGCATAATAAACGGAGTTTTAATCTCGCTCGCTGACAGGCCGTATCTTTACATTGTGTCATTCCACGGTTTTTAAAGCCTGCAACGTCAAGTATGCGAATATAACTACATATAAAATTAAAATTCTACTAATGTACTGAGAGAAAAAATGCCTAAAAAGGTAAAAATATTCATTCGGTGGATACTAATAACGTATTTACTTAAATTTAAATCCTCTTACTTAAGTAGATTAAATTGATTTCGCGAAAAGTTACAGATTTAAGAAAATATATATTTTCTCATTTGAAAAAACCTTTTTCCTAGTATAAAAATATGCAAAATCATATAAATAAATGTGCTATTGATACCTATCGAATAAATCTTCCCTACTTTTTACATGTTTCTTCTCTCAGTGCGCAAGCCGTTCTTTTCAGGGATCTCTCAAAGCTGTCATTTGCCTTTGAATACTTGATCGGTCGCCAGCGTTCACCAACCTTTATCTTCCGCCAGCCCGATGGGCGCGATGGGATACATCGGTGGGATCATATCGCCGGTGTCGTCGCGTTTAATGCGGAACACAAATCGCGTCAACACGACGGTGGGGGCGCAATTTTGCGTTCAACCAACGTCGCGCGCTTTGGGATCGTCGCGCGTTGATCGCGTCAAACGACATTATCCGGTTAGTCATCCGATTAGTCGGCGCATTCTCGCTGCCAGCGCGATAACGAGGTGTCAAAAGCGTGCGCATCGTGTCGCAATAAACGCGACTTCCGGCGACCGTCGCGAGAAAATTTCGATCGGGCCGTAAACGGTAGATTCGGAGAAATTGAACGGCCACATTCTCGCGGTCTTACCGTTCGTGGGTTGGTGATGCTCCCGATATCCTGGATTATTTATAGTGGCTGCACGGGGATCCGTGACGACCCTAATCTTGGTCGGGTCGCCGCCTCTTCGGGCATAAATGCCCTCGTAAATGGCGGACACCAGCACGCCGAAGTTCAGGACGATGGCAGCCAACTGCAACGACAAATAAGAACGTTCGATTTACGGTAAAAGAGCGGGCGAAAATTCGGTCGCTCGATATCGGGACGGGATTGGCTCGAGAGAGTGTGCCTCCTCGTCTCGTGCAAATTTAACCATTGTCAAGTCTGTATTCGACTAATCGAGAGGTCGATCGCCACGGTATCATCGTTCTCGCGCTTTCGTTCCGGCGAGAATCTACTCCGGGATTACCTCGGTTCACAACGGAGGAAGGGCAAATCTAATATTAACAATTATTGCAATCGACGAAATCGGGACTCAGGCTCGGCCTAACGCGGGAAGGTCGACTGCTGATCTAGTAGGTTTAACACGTTCAATGCCGTGACGGTTACCGGAGACCGGCATTGTGACATTGCGTCTCAGTGAGTCACGTATAATAATCTCTCGGAATTTCTTAGAGCGGAATCTCATTCAGAAAGTAGAGAGACCACCGATAAAAAGTCATTCGAGTGACTTTTTGCTCATATATAGTGAATTCCCCACCTTGAAGTCGTCGAATGAATCTTTTGAGCTCCACCGCCACAGGAATCAGTTTAAACGTCATTTTGATTCTACGTCACTAAATCGCACTTTATCTTCGGCAACTCAATCGCCAGGAATGTAACGCTGGATCAGTTTTAAGCGCTACTTCGACTGCGTATCGAGACGAGTTACACTGATTTACCGTATATCTGCGGCGACTCAGTCGTCACGAACACGACATTGGACATCAGTCTACGCGTGTTACTTCGGCTGCCTGTCACGAGGCGGAATTACATATCGATTCACCGTATATTTGGCGATCAATTCACCAACCGTCGGCTGAGCCTCCCGGCACGATCGACGCGGCAATCAACGGCGGCGGCAGTCAACGCTATCGTCGCGTCGAATATCCCACGACGAATAGGCCCATTCGCTGTCATTCGCTCGGGGATCAGCTGCTCGCGTCACAAATGAGAACCAAACAGCGCGACACTATCCGAGGCTCGTGCGAAAGACGCCGACGTGCTCGGAGTGCGAACTCCGAGCCGCGAACCTCTCATTTATTTCTCCTCCCGCTAATTGGCACGCGGAGACGTAACTGGGACACCGTTTTTCCGATTCGCCGGCCTGTCGCTCTCCCGTTGAAAACACACCGGGATCACACCGTGATTTCACACACGCCTCGCTCGGGCGCGCCCACGAGATCGCGAGAGACTTCTATTATCCCCCGAGGGGGAAGATCACATATTCCGGCGGTATACACCCGTCGACGTCGCGTCGTCGTCGTCGTCGAGCGAACGAGGCAAGTACCCTCGTGAACACGAGACTCACTCTCTCTCTCTCTCTCTTTCTCGGAGGCGAGTCGTCTGTTCTTGCACGGCGTGCGCGTAACTACGAGGAGAGATTGTCGTAGTATCGACGACGAGAGAGGCAGCAGCACATAGGTGGTGGACGCACGGTGATGCGAAGGGACACCGTGAGGCAAGGGGGGAGGGAGGG